TCAAGAAGGACATCAACTTGTGGAAGGAGCCGCTGCAGGCCGAGATGGAGGCTTTGGTGAGCTCTGGAACGATTCGCCGGGTGAAGGTGGATCAGTTGGTGCATGAGCCTGGCTACGACCGGATGGAGGTGGCACCAGCGAAGATTGTCCCGACGATCAAATCACCCTCGGGAAAGCGGAAGGCGAGAATCGTCATCTGCGGCAACATGGTGCATCCTGCTGGGCATGTGAAACCTTCACAACTTCCTGATGGTGGAGTTCATGGTTGTCATCGACCTCATGGAGCAGCATCACCGGCAGTGCAGAACCTCGGGGATGGGAATGACCCGAATGGGGATGGATCCGAAAGGCCTGGAGGTGGTGGACCGGCCGCTGCCGCAGATCTTTATGCGGGTGGTGTTGACTCTACGGCTCTGAGGTGTGTCCTGAGGAAGGCAGCAGGGGCTTCTTGGTCCTTGGCATCAACGGACGTGAGAGGGGCATTTCTATTGGCTCCCAGATCACAGACCCGACGGCAGCTTTTGGTGGTGGAGCCTCCGCGACTTTTGACCTCAACTGGCTTGGTCTCTGCGGAGGAACGTTGGATCTGTGACGGTGCCATGTATGGTTTAGATACCTCCCCAGCAGATTGGGCATCATTCAGGGACTGCCGCATGTCGTCCTTCCGATGGGAGACTCCAACTCACCGGTGCCACTTAGCGAGATCGCCAGAACCCAACATCTGGTCAATCATGGGGGTTTCCAAGACCAACTACCCGGAGGCAGTCATCAACGATGATGCTCATGCGGATCCTCTTGGCTTCCTCATTGTCTATGTGGATGACATCCTTTGTGCTGGACCTCGCCATGTGGTTGAAGCTTCTTTGGGCCGAATCCGGGATGAGTGGACGTGCTCGGAGGTGGAGTGGGTCAACGAGGTCAAATGGCTGAAGTTCTGTGGGATGCAGCTCAGATGGCAGGGAGACTCCTTGCTCTTGGGTCAGCCTGACTTTGCCCGCGAGCTTCTTGAACGACATGGTCCAGTTCCTGGTCGCCAAGTTCCACTTCCGAAGATTGACATGGCTCCGGATGTGGAGGATAACATTGACCCTGCGGATGTTCGCAGGTGCCAGCAGTTGCTGGGAGAACTCCTTTGGTTGAGTGGTCGAACCAGACCTGACCTTGCCTTCGCCGTATCGACCTTGAGCGGTTGGGTGACCAAGTGCCCCAAAAAGGTTCAGGAGCTGGGACGCTACTTGCTGGGCTACCTGCAGGAGACCTGGGAGTTTGTCTTGACTTACAAGAGCTGTTTGACAGATCAGGGGGAGCCAACAGATGAGCTGATGAAGCTCACCCTCCTGTCGGATGCTTCACATGCCCCACAGGGACTTCGTGGTTGCCAAGGCATATTGGCATTGTGGGGTGGCGCTCTGGTCCAATGGGAGAGCAAAAGGCAACCCTTTGCTGCTCTGAGCAGTACGGAGGCCGAGCTCATTGGATATGTGGATGCGCTGACGATGGGCGAGTCGCTTCAGGTGATCCTGAACATCCTGGAGCACAACGCCATGATCGACGATGGCCAGTTTGAGATCCGAGGCGACAACCTGTCCGGGATCCAATTGTTGTTGGCGCCTGATGGTCCTTGGCGCACACGCCACCTGAGGCTTAGAAGCTTCGTCCTGCGAGAGCGATTGGCTTCTCGTGAGTGGCATGTGGAGCATGTCCCTGGAGCAGAGCTGGCGGCCGACCTGTTGACGAAGCCTGTGGTGCTGCTGACTAGCTGGGAGTCGTTCCGTAGGACCTTAGGTTTGACCAAGTTTTCCATGCCGGATGAAACATCACGGCTTTGTCGCCTGGCTGAGGCGGTAGTTGCTCTTGGAGGATTGGTGCTCCAAAACGGAGCTAACCAGTTGGTGAAAACTGCTGGAGCTGTTAGCCTGTCGGCTCTCACGGCGTGGATGTGTTGTCATGAAGGGCTGGCATCTATGGCTAAACCAGTTGAAGAAAAAACCAAATCAAGACCAGCACAAGAACATGAAAAGAGGCCTAGGGAAAACGAACCAGGCCCTGCTAACCCTACTGAACCTACTTCCGACTGTAGCCTCACAGGCTCCCCAATCGTGCCTCGCCTTTGTGCTGTGCGTGGAGCCATGGCTGCTGGATCGTGGAGCGGTCCATGGGATGACGCAGAGTTCCAGAGCTTGCCGACGGGAAGCAGTGACCGCTGGCGCAGCTTGACTGGTGGGTGGTGGGTCAGGGTCCACGGTGGACTCCGATCCAGGCTGTACCACCCGGTGCACACAAGCACCCCTGTGAGGTGCGAGGACTTGGAGCCGGAAAGGACGACTGTGGTGTGGCATTGCACCGGTGGTCGACCCTGGACCCGGCAGGTGCACTGTGACCACTGGGGCTTTGGAAGCCAGCCTGTGCCAGGGGTTGGACAGTGGAAGGGCTTCACCTTCTTCAGGATCAAGGAGGGCAACCAGAGTGGGGCCAACAGCTCAGGGTTGCCCAGGATCCGACCTGATGTGGTGACCTGGAGCGATGAGGACCTACCACCGATGGTGAAGCAGGGTGGCATGTCAAGTGCTTACCCACCACCTGGGGCCAGAGAAAGCACCGAAGAAGAGGAGGCTGACCCAGGGGTTCCGTTTGAGCACGGGATGGTCCAACCTGGAAGAAAACCACCACCTCAGGCTTGGTTCCAGCGACAGAATATGCAGGGTTGGATGAACCGTATGGCCAAACCACCAGCAGTTCCAGTACACCATGCAATGCCAGGACCACCGCCAGCGGGTCCACCACCTCATGGGATGGCGGGATCGCTTCCAACTGGTCCGCCTCCTAGCAGTGCAGGGCAGGGTGGCCTGTCGAGTGCCGATCCACCGCCCGGGGCTGGAGCTGCACCGAAGCCGATGGCTGAGGGGTACTGCAGGCCAACTCATAAGTATGGCCGGTATCAGGCGCCTGCAGAAGCTGAAGGAGACCGTCCTCGTGGCCGACCTGGACCTGGACCTCGTGGAAGAGCCGCTATGGGCATTGGTGGGCCGATCGATGCTCGAGAGGAAGGCCGGATGACTTCGGCCGGATCTATGTCGATGGGAGCAGGACCTATGGGGGTCATCCCAACTGGAGCTGGAGATCGACCTGGTGAAAACCCGCTGCTGGCTTCTTTGAGGGTGGCAATGCGACCTCCAGAGCAGAACCCAGGTGGCTTGGCATCGTCGAGCTCTACGGTGATCCCTGGGGAGTGGGCCACACGAGGGGACCCGGGGCTGATTACCCCGCGGGGGTCCGTGGCTGGAGCATGGGCTAACCGGCCTACCTTGGTCGCCAAGGCCCTGGGCACTCCATACCAGGCCGAACGGCGATTGAATCCTCCCCCGGAGGGCTTGGAAGAGGCTGAAAGCTTCCAGGAGGAGGCATTGGAGTCTGAGGCCAACACCAGTGATGATTACTCCCTGGTGTCTGAGGAGGAGAACGTGGGCGCTGCTGAGACTCCCGAGAACGAGGAGGAGGACATGTAGCAGAGCTCCCCTTTTTTTTCTTTCTAAGACCAGCCAACGAAGCTTTGGTCTGGCATTTTGCTACGGCCACCGAAAAATGTTGCACCTGGCAACATTGGGGGAGTGTGGTGCCGTTTTCAAAGAATGACACGCACAAATCAAGAAGTGCTGTCTACTGTAGGACATGGCATGCAGTTTGGACGACCGTTCATAGCATGGCCCCTGCACAAGGATCTTACTGATTGCACATGGCTCAAGAAAAGGGCAGACTTTTGCACCTGCCTTTCGCAGGGAGAAAATATGTTCTGACACTATGTCGCAACGCGCATGATATACTGTAGATGTACAAATCGCATCAAATCGCTGTGCATGTCGCATCATGTCGCTATAGAAATGTACAAGTTATCAAAGATTGCCATGGCACGACGCTGAGGTGCACCTGAAGGAAATGCAACAAGTCCAAGCGCCAGCCAAGGTGTCAGCAATGAGAGTTGACTGGGAGTGACTCGCTAATCTAACTAGGTCAGATGAACTTCAGATGGGCAATCCCAGTCTAATAAAGCTTCATGATTCTTGATGAGCTCTAACTTTGAATGCCAGATCTTGAGTGTAGGACTTCCAGTGCCATCCTTTGCGAGGTCTGAATCTGGGGAATGCCTCATCCATACCGTTTGGCAGTATGGCAATGGATACCTCTGACTGAAACCCACGATGAGTGCCACACGATTTCCATTACATGGACAGAAAAAGACACCAGCTTCGCCGCAGAAAAGGCAACACAGTTTATGCTATATTTGACCGATTCCGACTTACTCTGACCTATTCTGACCGATGAAATTCTAACCTTTTAATTCTCGTTCGATTGTGTTATATTGTTCCCACTGCACAATTTAACCATGAGAAGCAGATAGTTTGATCTTCCTTTGGGTCCGCGTCAACTGTTTCTGTCCATATCCGCGTCGTGGCAGCAATTTTCGGATTGTCGCAGAGGCCGTTGGAACGAAGGGCTAGATTGGAGGTCACCTCTACAACTAGAGAGTGAAGAGACCATCCATTAAAATCCATTAAAATCCATTAAATAATTTTCAAAGTTGCGGAGAGGAAAAGCAGTTGAGGAGTGTCGCTGGGTCTCCACAGAAAGCTGGTTGAAAGCTGGTTGAAAGCTGGTTGAAAGCTGGTTGAAAGTGGTTTCGGGCACAGATCCCGTACACCCAATATGTCCTATATAATCCTATATATAATCCTATATATAATATATATCAATATTCGAGCAACATTTGCAAAAGCTTCAAACGAGCAAAGTCACCACAAGTTGTCCTGCCGCGGAGCTCAGATTCACGGCGATGGGAACACAGCCATTCACAGACGGCAGCATCTACGACACCACTTTTCTCCATTGAAGAATCATCGAATCATCAAGAATCCGATATGGGAAGTCCAGCTGAAAATAAAGATCTTAGATTCTATACTTAGATTTTGTTCAAAGATAGAAAGGTTTCAAATGTCTTAAGAAAATCCAGGATCCAGAGAGTAGCCATGCTTTTTGCCAAGTCCTGTATTGCGTCCACTCTGCAGAGGCGAGGCGCACAGTAACTCAGTCGTTGGGTCATCATCGATCAACCGTGGAGAGATCGTGCAAGTAAAGGCGTCTTTTAAAATGCAACGAAAAACATCGACAAAGATGGTTGACATTTCATGACATTTCTGCCTTTTTAAAATGATGGTAGACTATGGTAGACTTGTGCCAACTTCGTAAATGCTTCTGCTTTCTGCCTTTCCAAGGTGCACGCGGAGATGGCCAAGATGAGTTCGGAAAAGGCCGATGGAGGCCACTTCTCCAAGCTATGGCTGCTCAAGTGTTGCAGTTGTTTCCGTTTGCTTCCCTTCCCAGATTGTCTCAACTTCGTACATAAAATGAGCCAGTGGCACTTAGAACTCAGCATTTATGTGTGTTATATTGTGTTATGACAGTCTGTTATACCTGTTGGATCCTGTTGGCTGTGTTTCAGAATTCTGTTGGCCTTTGATAGATACGCAGGAGACATTCGTCACGATGCGCGGAAGTCCACGAGCAAGTTGCTGGAAGACACGCTGAAGCGTTCGTCTCTCAGAATCTGTGCCAGTTCCCAAAGGAAATTAATATAATTAATGACCTGCAACCAATGGAAGGCATAAAAGGATGAACGGCTTGAAGGAACTGGATCAATTGGGCAAAAGCATTGATGGCATTGAATTACTCAATGAGGACATGACATCACATTTGCATCGACAGAAATGATCACGAGTGAACTATACACTGTTGAAATGAAATGACATCAATTGAATGAAACAAATGAACACGTTAAATGAATGGAATTAGCCTGTAAAAAATGGACAAGGCGAACGGAATTATATAAACTAGTGGAATAAATAATGGTATCGAACTTTGCAAAATGAAATCAATGTATTCTGTAAATGGAATATACAAACAGAATGAATGAACCAGGGGATGAATGAAATCAATCGTGTTTGAGTATTGAAAAGACCTTATGATTGCTGCTGTGTCCACTGGCCCTGAGTCCAGATTGGAGTTTGTTCTTGTCAAGTCTAAGGCACTAACCAAACCCTGTCGTTCTTGCAGGTGGGATCATGCTTCGTCACTTGCACAGACATTTCCCTCGGCCATGTCCCTCGCCTTGCAGGCCAGATACCAAAGCAGTGGAAGGCGAGGCCGTTCACTTTAGAATCACCCTTTCATATCCTTTCATAGAGAACCATTGATACGTGGCGACCACGGTGGTCCTAAAGGTCTGGTCTACAAAGAGCTGTCCTGATCCCCAAACAGTCTAAGGCCTGAGCATACACAGCAGGAGAGCAAGGAACCAAAGGAGCACCAAGTCTAGCATTCACAATCCGCTGCAATCGAAAGCTGCAAGGTTCCTTTGATTTGCTGCAAGAGTGATGCAAAAGAATAAGCAACCAATAGAAAACATATCCAAAAACAATAGAAAACTGCTAGCCTTTGGTATCGGCCAGGACTTGCATGCTGCAGAAGCGAGGGCGCTTGGTGATGCAGAAGCCATGAAAACTCACGCGGCCAAGCACCCCGACAATACAGACCGAAGCCGACTGAACGCCGACCGGTCCCGCTCCGGGTCACGTGATGAGACCCAGATCGCAACATCGGGGACGACAGGGACCGGTGGAAGCGGCACAGGTGGAAGTGTGAGTGGTGTGAGCGGAGTCAGCGAATCCTTGAAATCTTCACATTGGACGAGACAGTGTGAAGGCTATGGATCACAGGCATCCCGTTCTACAGAAGATATCAAGAAAGAACATTCCGTCGATTCTGCCTTAGACGAGGAGAGCCTAGAAGCGCTTAGAAGTACGGTTTGAATTGCTCGAAGGGGTCGAAGGGACCGGGAGAAAAAGAAAGCAAGACATTGCTGCAAGGACCTTGCGGAGGAGCTGATGTCCGTGACTTTTGCGAAGCCTTTCCAGAAAACAAGGACCGGACATACAAACATTCCTCTGAGCTTTGAAACTTAGTATACTCAGTATACTGTAATTCAGTCAGTTGGGTCTTCGATCTTCAGCCAATTCATATCAATTCACCTTTCTCGGTTGTGCAGGTTCCACAGCACCAGCGAGGTTTGAAACTTAGTTCAGCTGCTCAAATTAGCCGGAGCTCAGCTCAGCATTCCGACTTCGTTGCGCGCTGTGCAGGAGTCCACAGATGGACCAGGTCAGTGAACAGCCCAGCTGCGACAGTTCTGTGCCGGTGACGACCTAAAGTTGGTCACTTTATGTCACTTTCACCAAGGTATGTTGTCATTAAGGACACCGGCTTCGCTTCTGAGACTGCTGATTTCCCTGGCAGTCAGGCCGCTATACGGCTGTGTATTGGTTGCCATGGATATTTCTGACAAGTGGCAGTGTCGATTACACATTGATTGCCATTTATGATTTGCTTCCCCTGCACAAGCGCAATACTATGCAATAATGTAGAACAGCGATCATCATCAGCGGGCTCCCCTCCAAAATTACTACACTTTGACAAGCGCATACAAATGTCGCTCACAACTGAACAAAGGGTAACAAAGGCTTAAGGAGGGTTCCTGCTCACTCTGTCTTCCAAAAGGCGTTTGTGAACCTGCCAGAACCTGGATAGCGCAGATGCAAACAACTTGATCGCCAGAAAGATGGGAAAGCAAATTCAATCATGAACAAAGTCCTTAGCCCCAACCTCCGCCCTCTTTACGGTTCTTACGAACCATCAGACATCACCAGGCCACGCTTTGCATGAAGCGCTTTGCCAGCAATTCCCACCACAGGGGGCCATTGATTCCTTTCTTAAGAATTTGGCCCGGGTGAAAGGCAGTCAGACAAGTCTGTTACAGCGCGCTGAACATCAGGATGGGATGGCCTACATCAGAGCCGGCGCGATTGTCTATTGCCTTAATTGCTGATTATAGATATTCATAGATTCTCTATTGATGTCTATTGATGTCTATTGCATTTCACATATTTCATTGCATTTCATGGATTGCATGATCTCGCGAGGGTGATTGTGCCATATTGTACCATCCCTTGAGGTTGAAGTAGTTGAAGTAGGCGGCCAGAAGCCAGCCAAAGTCTCAGATGACTTAGCTTCACCACGTGGATCCTTGTGGATCACCTTGACTGCAGAAGATGACATCATCATTCAACATGATTCATCATGATTCATCATGATTCAACCATCGATTCAAGCTATTTCATCATATTTCATCATATTTCAACACATTTCAATATGATGTGACCATTATGTGACCATTTGATTGGAGAATTTCCCGATTTTCAAGGACAGGTTGCAAGGGCGGATTCTATCTCCTCCAGGCGATGTCACTAGTGACACAAAAAGTGACACTAGTGGTACCCGTGAGGAATTGCTTGGAGCTTTGGTGCAGCCTTTGTCTTCTACGTTTCATCTTGTTTCATCTTGTTTCATCTTGTTTCATCTTGTTTCATCTTGTTTCATCTTGTTTCATCTTGTTTCATCTTGTTTCATCTTGTTTCTATTTCTTCAGTTTCTTTCATCCTTTTTTCATCCTTTTCCGTCTTTGTTGAGTAATGTTTTGAGATGTTTTGAGTATATGCTCCTGAAATCTGATGAACTTTTGATCAATCAATTGGATATGCACAGCACATGCAACGACGATTGTGTGAATTAGACGATAATTTTGCTTTGCACAATGCTATGTTCATTCTCATCCAGCCGCACACCTGGTATGCTGATAAAAGGCTTGACTGCCATCGCCATCTCCATACTGTTGCAGGTTGGATTTCCCTGCTGGACACTGAGTCTGGCTATCGCTGGGCATGCAAAGTGGAGGCCAGTCTGCCAATAAGGACCAATAGCATCCAATAGTAGACTCCAGATGCAGAATGATGCAACTATGTCAGAGTGAACAGGATATGCATGCTGTGTCCCTGTGTCATCATATCATATATTGAACATACTGTATAATATACATATATTATACACTGTGTATGTGGATATATATATGACAGTATATATATATATAAATAATACTATACTGATAATATATAATAAATATATATATATAATATATAGTGCACACTAGTAGGTTTGCCACAGTTGATTCCCCAAAGTGACACATTGGCTTGTTCCAGGTTGGTGGAGAACATGTGGAAAGCAAGGCTGGAGAGTGCCAGAAATAACCTGCTGCATTGAAAGCAGCGTTGTGGTCGAGGCACCATCAACCCCGAGAGCCTCTTTAGTCGTCCTTCCAGCAAGCCATGACAAGATAAGCCGGAGCCTTAAGAAAGTGTTGCGAGTAGCCTGAATGCAGTGCGGCTTCGACAGTTTTAGCACCTTTTCTTAACACCTTGCCATATTCAAGACCTGTGGTTGACTTGAAAATACTTGAAAAGGAGAAGATGGCTGAATCAAATTCCTTCAAAGCATAGCCCTTTCAGTGCGTGAGAACACTTTTGGCTTTTGGCATGAGGCACTGTGTGCCGAAAGCCACGCCCCAAAGCTATTCATCGACGTGCATGGCCGAAGGATGTAAATGCCCCCTTTCAGCTGGCCAGAAATGCTCAGCCTACAGGAGAATTCAAGGCATAGCTTTTTTTCTCATGATTTTCTGTTGCAGTTTGTAGCTCTCTTCACTCCAATTTGTAAATGCAATGTACAGGAAAGTCTTGGACGTACCAGTGCCTGCAGCTTATATGCTTGTCTTCATCGACTTGTTTGAATCATATTGGATCCGTTTGGATCCCGATTTCGTGAACAGTGGACAATTCTGCTTTTCCTCCCGGCTGACGGCACTGGCAATCTGGATGGAATCGTCATTCGCCAAAAGTGGCAGTGGCTCGGACATCGAGACCATGGCAATCGGAATCGCTTTCCGGCCCAATCTGGAAAAGGGAAAATCAGCCTTGACATTTTTGCCGACTGTGGTCTTATGATCCCGCATCCAATTGATCGATGTTGATCGTTGATTTCACTCTTGTGGTTGCTACGCCAGGATATGGTAGTGATATTTTTGATATATTTTTGATATGATAATATCTGAGACAGTACAGGCATGTACAGGCATGTACATATCGTACTGCATGGTCTATGGATGCCTTTGGATGACTCTTTATGGCTCGACCAAGTTGTCCAGCCCAGTACACAGGTTTGACTTTTATGTTGCTACACGCTTCGCGGGCTGAAGGACTTGAGTGGGGGTTTCAGGATTCTCCAAATTCAGCACAAAAAGACACTGCCTGTGAGATCTTTCAGAAACTTTCAGAAACTTTCAAGTTTGTTCAGTTTGTTCTCCCCTTGAACCACTCCACTGCCTTTCACGATCTGAGGTGCATGGCCACTTCAAGCGAAGCGGAACCTCACTCGGATTCAGAGAGAAATTGCTGGCAGGACACAAGGGGTTGAGTTGACGTATGTTGACGTCCAATATGCTGAAGCACAGACAGCTGTGGCGGCTGTGGCTGATAACATTGATAATATTTGGCGTGGATATGGTAGATGCATAGTATTGGATTGCGCTGGATTGCACTGGATCGCGGGTTGTGGTTTGCAGATTCTTGCAGACATGTGTGACATGTGAGATTTCAGACAGTGGCTCTTGAACAGAGGAAGTCCAAGCTGATCGAGCTGACCACATGGTGCCCCTCTTGACATTTCCTGTGCAGTATCACATATGCTTCGCATGCTTCGCGCAACTTTCCCGAATATCTTCAGAACCTGGCTTTTGCACAGCTCATTTTTTTTCATTGATTTACTATACTGTGCAGGTCTGGGCTTCACATGAGTCTTCTGACTCAGAGCCTGATGACAGATTGCAAGCAGCTCAGTGGGAGACGATATTTGGCCATGGCGTGCCATGGCCATGACTTTCAACGACCCAACGGGTGACCTGACTGTGACCGAGACTATTCCCGGAAAAGGTGGTGCACCAGGAACCTCAGCCACAACCTGAGTGCAGAATTTGGAGTCGACCGCTTCAGCACGCACGGCACATCACGGCACCACGGCAGGCACCTTTTCTGGAACAGCATTGGAGTCCCCTGTGCTATTGATGGTTTGAAGTTTCGGTGCGCAGGCCCTGAGTGGCTTCGCTTTGTTTTTCTTTGTTTCCACACATGACCATGGCAATTCTTGACGAGTCTCTTGACCTTTCTTGGCAATTTGTCATGGGCTTACTTCAGGTTTAGAGCAATGTATTAAGGACTTAACCTGCCTTGAACCTTTCTGAATGTGACACTGGCGGACACTGTGCCTCTTAATTTGCTGGCTTGTGAGCTTGTGCTTGTCAATTCTCTTTCCAGCACAGGATGATACCGGAAAGGGCAATAAACGTGCTTGTGAATATTCAATGTGGCTGCAGCCAAAAGGTCCTGCCAGCATATAATGAAACTTGATGGCATTTGGCAGGATCAGCCCATAAAATCCCCTTCGGCTTGGCTCGATCCTCGAAATTTGGGAGAGAATGCCATGCTGACCATGCTTGCAGTTGAATGTTAATCCATGGTTAATCCATGTTAATCCAGTTGCTATCCCTTGGACATACTCTCTGGCTTTTAAAGTTGAAGTGGCTGACTATAGCAGCTGTCGAGTAAGGGAAGGACCTCGCAAGAAAGCATCAAAGAAGCCTTCATTGGACCACAATGAATGCAGGATAAGTAGAGGACTGATAAGAAACGCGGAAGGACGAACAGACTTGCAATTCTGTTGAAGATGAACATTGACATCATCTCTGGTCAAAGCCGCTGTTTCACCAGACTTACTTCACTGTTTCAGAGCCTGAGGTTCGGAGACCACCCAATGACACACAGGTGCGCTTAACTTTGACCAGCACTTTTGATTTCTTAGGGTCATGATTGGTGTAGCCCAGTATGCTATTTCTATCTAGTTCTTGTGAAAGTAGAAAACCAAATGCATTGCTTGAATCAGCACTCGACAGCTGTTTAACACACAGAATCTGCAGTGCCTCGAGACTCCCAGAATTGAGCGGTCGCAAGCAACCAGGGATTTGCTGATCTCCTATTCCTATATAGGCTTTAGTGCAGCTTCAAGCATCAAACGATATTAAGCATTACCACCGGTTCCTCTCACTTGTCATCATGTGAATTGAGGTGTGATGGTGGGTTTGGGCACATATGGCCAGCGCAGGTCAACCACTCATACCTGAAACAACTTGGAAACCCTCCAGCCAGTTGTGGCCTGGGCCTTTGTAAGTTGTGTCTTTTCCAATCTTTTCCATTTGACCTTTCGAACCTTGTTGAACCTTGAGCTGTGTCTGGCTCGAGGTGATGGTTTGACTTCAGGAGGCGAAGCAGATTTGGACGTCTCGCAGAGCGATGCCTGCGATGCTGGTGATCTCGTCACCTCGGGCAGTCCGTGGCTCAGTGCACACAGAGCGCATGCATAGCTGAGCGCCATCTGAGCGCCATCTGAGCACCTGGTGCTCTTCTGCCTGTGCCACTCCTGTGCCACTCCTGTGCTTCCCCTTGTGGGATCTTGTGGGCCAAGGCGAGGCGCCAAGTCGGAAGGCTCACAATCCAAATGTGTCCGCACATGTCAGCATTGCGACATTTCTGCGTGGGGTCAGGCTAAACGAGAACGTTTCCAAGCCCTTGCCCTACATTTTTTGCATTCTTTTTTTAAAATATTGACAGGGCCTTCTGTCTTCACATGTTTATTGCTTCGATGTGCTTATGGCACTTGTTGATGCTCAGGATTCCTTCCCAGTCTGGAAGAAGAGGCTGCCGAACCAGGCGAGCAGTGGTATTTTGTTGGATTGCTTGTGGCCATAGTTGTCCAATTGGTGAGCACTGACGACTGAGCCAGGTAACACACAGTCGAAGATTACGTGGAGAAAGCTGGGCTCCCCTTGGAACAGCCAATGCGAAAGGTTGCAGCTTGAGATCCTGCACCCTGAACTCATGCCTGAAGCAACTCTTATTGCGAGTGCAGAACTGGTGCAGAAACTTGCCTCAGGTTTGGAGAGAACAGTTCTACACACGTTGCTGCAGCCCCAGACCATCCAAGCGCGAGTCTGGGACCTGGCTAACTTCCAGCACTGACGCGCTCAGGTGGGACTCGGGCTTTTCGACCGATGAGGATGCTGAGACCTGTGCCACTGCAGAGGTCAGCACTGAGTCATAGCCTTCGGGGGATCAGGGGACGATGGTTTCCAACCAATAGTGCTGCTGTGTTTTGCAGCACTTGGCACTTGGACATATTTTGACATATTTTGTCATTTTTCATACATTTTTAGGTATTGTTCAATATTGTTCATCATCTTCCCAGGAAGACGAGGGCAACGAAGAATACAGCGTTCAGGAAGAGGTCAAGCGTTGGTGCCAATGCTTGTGAATGTGCTGACTCCGGTGGAATGTTGTGTCAGGCACTGCCGAGTCCAATGAGCGTTTTTCATTTGTAAAGGTAGAGCAAACATGTGCAAAGTTTAATTTTGCACTATGATCAGTATGATCACTTTTTTAAATGCCTTATCAATAGCAAAGGGATCCTGGCCAAATGGAGCAGGATCCCTTTCTTATTTGGAACCGGGCGCTGCTTTCCTTGGACCAAACGCCCAAATGAGCGTTCCATGCGACAGCTGTTGTGCTGACAAAGCTTGCCAGACCAAATCCATGGGGTCTCAAAAGATCAGAATGCAAACCTCAGACAACATCCAACAAACAATAATTCGATTGGGACGTCCAACTGCATGAGTTTTTCTATAGTTTTCTGGATATGGTGTTGGTTTATCGGCCTTTTGGGTCCTGGCAAGCTTGATCATGCCCAGTTGTCTACAGTCTTCTCACAGCGAACATGTCCGTATAATGGACACTCGGCATGCAGGGCACGGCGGAATCGACACAGAACATCGGCATCACATGTGACCAAAGATACCAAAGTCTGACCTTGTTGATTTTAGCCTCCCTGGCCGCAAGAGCAGAGATGTTTTAAAACGCCGCACTTTGAGGAGCCTCACAACATCCGTAGCGTAAGGGCATTCTTGGCGACATGAAGGCTACTCTGCTACTAGGCTACTCTTGAACAGCAAGTCTTTTCAAATATTGAAAAAGAATGAAAAAGACTGTTCTTTGTCTGATCTTTGACACCTGACGTCCTTGTTCCATCGGATTCTATCGCGTAACTCCTTGCTCCGCCTTGCTCTATCGCGTAAACGTATTGTTTCTGGCCTTCTGGCTGTGAGAAAGACATTAGGACGCCCGGGACATTCTTGTCCACTTCACTCACTATAGCCTCCAGATGCCTCCAAGATTTTTTAAGTCAGTGCAGTAGAGTTTTTGTATCGTGTGGAAGCAGACTGAAACTGGGCAGGGGAGAAGTGCCACATATCGTGTACGAATGCGCCGCAGCCGTGGTTCTGCAAGAAGCGCACCCTCGTTGTGGCCCAGAAAGGCTCGTGGCATGTAGTAGTAGCACTTTGCGATTGGACGTGACTAAGTCTGACTAAGTTTCAATTTGTTCTGGCATGTTCTGTTTTTTTCATATCTTTCCGAGGTTTGTGATGTTCGGGTTTGCGGGGTTTGTAGGTGCACGTTTGGTGGGCACTCCTCAAATTTCACTTTGTCAATTCTTAGAGACAAGTTATGATATGTTATGATCATGATCGTGCTTTTCTGTGTCATTTTGCTTGGAGATCTTGGAGGTCACGAGGTTGTGGCGGCCGGTGCTGTTGTGAAAGACAAGGCACAGTTGGAAGATACTCACACTTTAAGACATTCTAATGGCATGTCAGATCTGCACATTGGCACATACATGGCCCAGGTAGACGGAAGAATGAACTGAACCTGACTCCAAAATCAGTAGTCTCAAATTGCCATGGAGACTTCAGACTTGCACTTGGAACTTGATCTGTGAACCCAGCGGCTCAAGCACTGCCGTTCCAACTTTGAGCTACTGTGGAGCCTCGACACTGTGGGATTGCTTCGATTGCTTCGTGTTCAAAGATATCTCAAAACTAACAGCATTGATCATATTGATTGAACCCCCAATGATGTCGGATGATCTTATCGGATTTCGCAGGGTTGTTTGCTCGTTGCATCTTGTCAGATTCCATTGATTCCCCCACTGCGTGTGACAATTTGCAGTGACTGCTCAGGATTCAAGATCATCGAGGAAGTCTTCCGGATGTTGTGGTCGTGGATTGCAGACCTGACCCACACCTTTGGATGGTCCTTCTTGATGGCAGTATGCTATTACCATCATGTTCTCAAAGGATTTGTCTTGATGTATACCTTTACATCCTTTGACTGGGTCTTAGCCAGTCACCATGTACGTGGCCCACGGCTCCAAGCCTTGAAGACGATCGCCCTGCTGCCGTGGGTCTTGAAGCCGGTTCTTGGAATCACCAGTGACATGTTTCCAATTTTTGGTCGCAGCAAAGCACCATACGTGATCCTGGTGACCCTTATAGGCTGCCCAGCTTGTGCCTTCATCGCTTTCTACCATCGCTTTGATGTGTTTGGCAACTTCACAATGGCCACGGTCACCGCCTTCTTCTGCATCGGCCTTCAGATTTGCACTTGCGATCTTCTCCTAGAGGCAGCAGTTGCAGAACGAATCCGAAAGTCTCCGAAGAAAGGGCCCAGTCTCATGGCCTTCATGACAGGAGGACAAACCGTTGGAGAAGCCTTGGCGATTGGTACCATTGGATGGGTCTTGGAATACTTGGGGCCTCGAGGCCCCTGCCTCTTGGCGTTGCCTTTGACGTGGTTGGCATTTGTTCCTGCTGTTGGCAACTGGCTTGGTGAGTCAGAGTGCCCTGAACAGGAAGCATCACAACGGAGAAAAGCATTCTTTACAGCCAGGAACCGGCGAGGTGGTGGTGAAATTCCCTTCTTGGTGGCTGCAGTGGGAGTTGGATCCCTGGTCATTCTGCAAGTAGCCTCCAACACTGACAGCGAAGCTGCCAATCCCTTCACGGATCCTCTCTCTGCCGCCTCGTACCAGCTTAAACTCATTGCATTGCTCGCGATTCTGATCATTGCATCGTTCTGTTTGTTGCTCAACCCAACCATCGGCCTGATGAATGCCTTCTTTTTCTTGCAATCCACTTCCACCATATCTGTGGAAGGTGGTGCATTCTACTTCTTTACAGATGATTCCGCATCCTACCCCATGGGACCTCATTTCTCGGTGTGGTTTTACACAACAGGACTTGGCCTTGTGGCGAGTGCTTTTGGAATCATGGGCTTGTGGATCTACAATCATTTCATGGCCCACTGGAGGTATCGAAACCTTCTTCTTACATCCAACTTGCTGTGGATTTTGGTCTCATCTGTCAGTGTTCTTGTCTTCACCCGAAGGAACATTGAATGGGGCATTCCGGATGATCTCTTTGTTCTTGGAGGGACAGTCTTGCAAAACGTCTTCGTTCGGTGGGCCTATGTCCCAGGTGGCCTGCTATTGTGTCAAGTCTGTCCTGAAGGTTTGGAAGCCACGATGTTTGCGCTCCTTGCAGGTTGCCAAAATCTGGGACGTTCTGTGGCTTCCATCTTTGGAACGTATTTGCTTGCTTATCTCGGAGTGGAGCCAGATGGCACCCCGCAAGATAGCCATTGCTTTGATCACCTGTGGATTGCAGCAGTCCTGCAGTCCATTTTGCCCCTTCTCACCCTTGGTCTTTTGCCTCGAATGATTCCTGATGCATCTCAAACAGATCATATTCGACTCACTCCGGATGGCCCTGTTGGGGATACTGGTGGACAGCTGGATTCAGACCCAAGGTCCAGTGTGGCTCTGGCTACAAGTGGCTCTTTGTGGGGGAGACTGTGTTTGTTCCTGTCAACCTACTGGGGGCCAACCACGGCCATATCCGATGCTGGTACCGGAGTCTCATATGGCACGTCAGCCCCCAAGGCAGGGCACTCGGGGTGGAACTGTCCTAGAATTTTCTACGTAGATTCTTCATGATTCTTCATGGTTCTTCATGATTCCTTATGAATCATGATCTGATTCTTCCAGGTAGAATCTTTGTATGTCTTTGCAAACTTTGCAGTTGCCAGTTTCTGCGCAAGGAACGCAAAGTTCGGGGCAGCACTGGTGGCAGCGAGACCTTCAGGCAGATTCACAGTTCCGTTGAAGAATGGATTTGTTGATGTTCTTCAGTGATGTTTACTGTGAAGTTAGCATGTTACACATGGAAAAGTGTGGAAAGTTTGATCTACCTGGATCAACCATGCCAAAACATACGTCCAAGCCTGGGTGCTATGCAATCCGCTGTTACTTTTTCACTTGAATACTTACCCCTTCCGCAAGCGTTGTGGTACTGGTGCTGTCCAGGATGGGCAAAATGTTTGGTGGTGCCGAGACCGGAAGGCGGACTCATATTCGGTTTCATTTTTTCTTTGAAGGCAGTTCAGGTGAGCAACAAGGAATAACAAGGGGAATGAACCTGTCGTGCTTGGCCCAGGATGGGCAAGATGTTCTATTCGAGAGCACGACCACAGGCCGTTGAAGGACTGAGGGGCCCATGGACATTTCATATTTGGGTGATCTAGGGTTGAATGTGCCAATTCTTGTAGAACATCATTACCTTCAGATTTGACAAGTGCTCAAACACCAGAACAGCCAGGACATGATATCCTGTCAACGACCCACTGGCTGCAGTAATTCGATTGTAGCAGCCGTCAAATGTGAGAGCTGATCATTGATTTCCTGCATGTTTTCGGCTGACACAAATCATCTTGCACTTGCAATCACAGACATACAGATATTCATTGACAATCATTGACACATAATCCAACATTTCTGGAAGGAATCATCGGAAAATGCTCATTTGGTGATTTATTGTTGAGATTTCCTGATTGGATCATGCTACGAACTGCTGGAGATCGCGTATTTCAGCTCCAAAGCAGGGGTGCAGCTGCCCCGCGAGTCCTTTCTCTGCTTGTGCACGCGCTTTGGAAAAGGGCCTCTACATCCTCTACTGTACTGTACGGCACCATGAGAGATCCCAACTCATCCGAGCCGGCTACAGATCACCCACCTTCCAATAGTGATGACTGGATCTGACTGGGACAGGCAGAGTTCAAGAGTCATGGCAGGCCCTCCATAGGTGCGACGTGGAATGTGGTCAATGCCAATGCGGCGTCTGGCTTGATTCAATCAACAACTTGTATCAACTTGTGATGTTTTGTGTGAAACAGAGACTTGACACTCAATCCATCCCCTATTCATGGATGCTTGCCTCCTATCACTGTCCGTTTCGGCCCAAAGTCAGCATTTAAAGTACAAAGTGATTTGTATTTGCAGTCGGGCATGTATTCAAGAGATTTGTAGTTGCGCTCAATCCAGGAGTGGTGCCCAAGACGGCTGACGCGAGAGCTCAAAACCCTTTGGCAAACAACATGGTATCTTTTACGAAAAACACATCTCCACAGACAACTTGAGGGAGATAACTGCTGAAGTCCTTTGCCTTGCTAATAAATACAACCGCTGGCATGCGGCATGTGTTGACCACTAGTGATACACACGACTATGACTAAGGTGATGGCGAGCCCAAGAGCACGTGAAGCTGCCAGTGTTTTCGTTTGCTGCCAAGATTCAGCTTCGGACATGCAAAATTCTTGCATGTCCCGCAAATTCCCCTGGGATTGAAACCGCCTCGAGCAAGCCTAATTTGCCAATTAATTAGCGCACATGTTCTTACACTCAGGCTGGAAACATAGACAAGCAATTTGAGAAGCTACGTCAAGATTTGGAATCTTTGCTGCAGAGACCTCTCCAATTGTAAGTAGTTTTAGCCTTGCAGAGAGGTAGTGAGGACGCGAGTGATGCTTTTTGTGCAAGGATCGCAAACATATCCGTCTAGAGAAGATGATTCGCAGCAGTGCCCAGCAGGCTGGGCCTGAAATCCATCAGACATGGCAGCCATGGCACAATTCACCAGCTGAACTGCTCAGGTGGCAGCGGCGACCTCTGGGGCACTTCAGCTCCCCTTTCGCACTAAATCCTATTTGATCCTACTTGTCATGACTTAATCTTCAGCTGCAGTGTAAACACCATGTGCACAAGGCACCAATTGATGACCATGCAGAAGGAGATGATGGCAGCACATTTCAATCCAGGATCAATCCAGCCTGTGCAGGACCAGCTGACCAGCTTTTGGTATCCTTGTTTGGACTTTGTCTGCAAGAGTGGCCTTGTGGCCCACGTGTTTTGACCGCCCCGGCCATAGTGTATCCTGCGACAGGATTCGATGAACCAGGTTCCGCTACCAGGTCACCCTGAAGAAGCCATTGGCGTTTTCCCTGATCATGTCTTGAAATCGCGCACAACGCAGTTTTCCGTGGAGTCGAAGCTCGACTCAAAATATGTGGCCGAGCCTTTCCAGGCAAAGGAGTGGATGATTCTTGCAGGTAGACTAGGCAATGCAGCAATGGACTGTCAACTAACGCCGAAGCCAAGGGATTTGGACTTATTTGCAGAAGATGCATTCGGATTCTCAGTTGCAATGTGAGTCAAGCTTGTCACTGGCTGTGAGAGGCTATGAACATATCATTTAATTTCGCCTTGATCCACTCTCCTTTGTCTCCAAGGGGAAGTTCTCTCACCCATGGCCACCGATGATGAAGATTTAGCACGCCAACAGTATGAATCCAGCGGCCGCAAAAAGAAGAGACACAAAAAGGACAGGGACGGGTTGGGAAAAATGCGGAATCCAGCTGGAAAAGATGCCAGAAGCAATGCATCAACGGTTCAGGAAACAGAAACGATGCGCTCAACAATCCTATTCCCTGCTCATATCTGCTCATCCTTTCCCCGAGACTACAACTTTTCTCAACTGTGTTCAATGGAGACAGCATTTTTGTGGGGTTTGAGGATGCACGAGGGTTCAATTTGAAGATGAGAATGATGAGAGACGCTGAGACTGTAGGAATTTCAAGATAACGTCCCCAAATGTCCCGAAAGTATTTGAACACAAGGAAAAAAGAGAACAGCTTGTGAAAGTGAAATACGTTGAACATATTTGGGAGCATCTTTTTCTCCCGGCAGCACTGACCGCTCTGCTTGATCAATCTTCATAACGCAGACCCTTCACAACTTTTAACCTTTGGCTGCTGATAAAGGGAGAACAATATGGAGAACACAGGGAGAAAAAACGGTGTACAATAGGGATACAATAGAGAGAGAAGATAGGGAGGAACACAATGAGGACAATAGGGAGGACACGAGGAGAACATAGGGATAAAATTGGAAGAAGGATAAGGGTAGGGTGTCAATTGAGTCAATGTGCAAGGTCTGGTGTTCGAGCTTTGAAACAGGATTGAGGCCGAAAGACAATAAAACAATGACGTGCCTTTGCCTTTGAGTTAGGAGCTGTGTCACGCGTTGCATAAGGGTGTAACAGTGTATGATAATGTTTCCACCTTTGACTCTTCCAATCGCGGGTCCAAGCAAAACCTGTGCCCGCAGGTGCTACTTGAGTGATGTTTTCCACGCAGATAGAGTTCTCTTGCTTGTCCATATGGGATTTGAGGTAACGCAAGAATACTTGTGATTCTGTACATATGGCTCCATCCAGGCCCACAGGCACCATGAAATTTGTCTATGGCTGATTTGTGCAGGACAAAGTCAAGACGGCATGGGAAGACGAGGCTTCATCAGTTGAGAAACAGGGACTGACGCTTCCTGATGTCAAGCCACTTGTTGAGGCATTGGAAGATGACGGTGGAAAGAGACGTGCTACTACAGATACTTGGCTCGATTGGGATGAAACCATTTCGATTGACAATTGGACAAGATCTTCAATGCCCTTAGTGGGTCTACTTGGCCAAGGGAATGACGAAGTTGCGAGAAGCACCTGTCTTGCAATTGAGCGACGGTTCATGTGGAGGACCCCTTACCCCTTCCTTTTTGAACCTGCGAAACTGGTTAATTTATAGGACTCATTTAAACTTTTGAATGATTTGATATCGATTTATAATGTTTTATGATGTTGTTTTATGATATTTTAATTTATTTTATGTATCTTAGTGGCCGCGCAAGATACGCACAAGAATTGTGCAAGGGTTGCCTGAGGCCAGTTCTGAGGTGAAGTAAATTAGAGCAGCTTCAACAAGGAGAAGAAATCTGGAAACAGTCGAACTGCTTTTGCCTTTGAGATCATTTGAGGAAGTTCTTATCCATCTAATTCTGTTTTAAAGTCTCGTTCGCTGGGCTAAACATTCGGTCCAACGTCTCCTTGGGGCCTGTGCAAGCCGGGATGTTTGGCCAATGGAAGAGTTGCTGGATCACATCCCGGGAAATGGTTTATATTATTGTGATATATTGTCATTGTGATTCATTGTGCATTATTGTTTATTCCCTTCTCCAAGAGATTTTGAAATTGTGGCACTGAGGGGGATGAAGAGCTACTGAAGAAAAGAGCGCAGATGGTGCAGAGGAGCGAGCTTCATCAGAGCCAGACTTGGAAGAGCACACTGAATCTGTCCAACTGTATAACTGCCAATGCGTTTACTTATGGTGGTTTGTTTGTTTATGTCATAAAATGTATTTAAACATGAACATAATATATATATACACATCCATGTAGATATCATTTACACGCACACACACACACACACGGACTTTTCTTTTGTCACTTGTGCAGGCGCGTTATCAAAGAAGATGAAATGCCACCTGGGCGTGTTTTTGCAAGGCTGGAGAGAGTCGTTGAAGCTTTTGAAGCAGAGAAATGAGAAACATCAACTTGTCCACAACACTGCTGGATCGCAGGAGAATCGTTTTCAATCAGCGTTTTGAATGGATTGCTGCTGCTGTTCTGCTGGGAAACTCCATGCTGGTTGGTATTGAAGCGGAATTCACGTTGAACAACTTGAATTCTGTGCCTCATTTGAAATTTATTTTGTTGATACTGCTGTTGAAGCCAAAGGTCTTGGACAGCTGGAAAATGCAGAACATCCAAGCAAACATTCACTTGATATGACTTGATGTCAATGTCAGTATGAGAGGGTGACGAATCCCTTCGAAGAAGGACCTTGCCTGATGCATTGCTAACGAAGGTAAATCGATGCAGTCCTTTTTCACTACAATGAACAGATGGAAAGAGACAGTCTGTTGACAACATGTGCCTCAGCAGAACATTTGCGGACCAAATGCCCATTTGTTTGAGGAACCTTACTGGCTGATTCGACTGTTTGACATCATCTTCAGCGTCTGCTTCACCATAGAGCTTTTCCTTCGACTTGCCGCATGGAGCCCAAATTGTTGATTCAAGGGAATGGCGCCTGGGGACAGTGGAATGTATTTAATTCACCAGGTAAAACGCTGCATATCAGTTGAATTCAGTTGATGAAATCGTATATTATTATATTATTATTAACGTGCAACTTATATTCAACATCTTTTGAACAACCAGACGAAGTCAACACAAGCGAGGATGTTCTCCAACAACACATTGCATTGCATGCGCGCATTTTCCCTTCATCAGGCGGACCAGAAGTTCTTTGTTTCGTGCTACAATCCTGCTTTGCGCCCTGGCACTTGATGGCGTTGATCGCATTTGGTCGGTGTGAAAGTCTGAAGCCGCTTTCACTGGACGAAGCTGCCAGGCATTGGAATATTTTGGACATCATCCTGGTTCTGCACCAGCCTCAAGCGTCCTAGCAGTCCTAGCTGACTGTCCTAGCCGACCCTAGCAGTCCTGCAGTCCTACCTAGGCTGTCTTCAGATGGTTTTCAGATGTTTTCAGATCATTCTATCCATTCCTATCCACCAGGTCAACCTTTGTTGAGGAGATCATCAACATTGTCGAAGCCAATCGACCTGAGATCGATGTGTGCCCCGGCGCACGGTGATTGACAAGCCTTTCCTGCCGGTCACGAGCGGTTTTTTGCAAAGGACAACGTCTGGGCATCCTTGGATTCCTGAAAACCCAAGAGGTTGTCGCATGTCAAGGTGCTGAACATCATCCCTCTCACTTTTTTTTGCTCTCTCTCTCTCTCTGTCTCTTTGTAGAAGATTAAAGAATTATAATGAACTATATATTATAATTATATAATTATATAATTGAATAATATATAATGTATAATAATGTATATATATATAATATAATATATATAATATATACATATAAATGTATGCATATATATATATACACGTACATATGGATATGTATAGTATGTATTACTCCCAACAGTGGGTGTAGCAAGGCTGGTTCCATCCCATTTGTTGGAGTGCACCATATAAGGTCAGTCTTACGAATGCTGCGGATGGTGCGCTTGTTGCGTGCCTTGGTCTTGTGTGACACGATGGGGGTTGAGATCAGGCACTAGTTGAAACAAGTTGATCAACCAGGTAGTGTTAATTAATGTTAATTAGTTAAGGTCGGTTGAAGGAAGATGAAGAAAGATGCGAAATGATGAGACACAAAACAATAACAACAACCATAACCATAACAAGAACAATATAATTATATATATATGTACAGATATGAATTCAATGCGAGGCACCTTAAAAAAATACGACAAGTACGAATCCTCGTATGGCCGAGGCGTTGCTCGAATTGTTCGAGTTGTTCGCTTCTTCAACGACCTTCGGGTCATGGTCAATGGAATCAAAGCTTCATCCAGAGCACTGCTTTGGGCAGTTGCACCTCGTCACATCAAAATAGTTGTCTGATGTTATCTGTTTATCATCCTTTAATGCATGATAATGCATATAAAATTGATATTCTCCGCATTTACTGTATCCGCATTTATCCGCTATCCCGTGCCGCAGTTTGTATGATATATTATGATCCCAAAGCTTGAGTGCAGAATGGGCGGCAAACTGTGGTGATTTCAAACCATTCTTTTTACCGTTGCTGTTGCAAGACCTCAGCTCGATAAGAATGCTGCAGCACACTAATCATACAGCCATTGATGGCTGCATTTCAAGTGATCCTGATGTCCATGGCTTGACTCGCTTTGTGGAGAGATGTTTTTTTTATTTTTTTTTGGCATGTTTTTGCTGAATCCAGTGAGAGTTTTTAAGCATTTTTAGTGCTCAACCATTTGGTGCTCAGAAGATTAGCTTCAATTGTGTCCAAGGCTCTCCTTCTTCTTGTCACTGTCCAAGCATTTGGATGAATTTTGCAGATGATGTTCTTGTGGTTTTTCAGAACACTTCAGTCCATTTAAAATTCCGTTTGTTCTTGGGTCATGCTGAGGCTCTGTTGTTCCATGTTTTCCACCAAGCGCGTCCCAAGGTGACATATGTATTTGGAGTCACTTTCATGCAGCTCTCAGCGGCGCACTTGACTGGTTCAAATGGACAAGACAGCTTGCTGATTACATATTATGGAACGCTGCTTGACTACGAACAGTTCTGGATACAGTTCGATTGTCTTGGATTCCAATTGTTTGGGAGTGGCTGGATGTGGCTACAATTGTTCGGTAGAAGATTCATGTTGCATCTAGCGGCAGAGACGATGGGTGATCCAAGGCTGTCTCGAACGATATTGACGCTTTTCATGACCATCTCAGGTGCATCGCCGCATCATGTCTCATCTTAGTTCACCTACTCGTATGTAGAGTGTTCGAAGTGATTACTCAAATCTTGGCAGTCTTGTGTACCGTGTCAGGTGGAATGCTATGGAATGAAGCTTTGAGACCTTTGAGTGAAATCCATTGGGTGGTCGACATTCTCTTTTTGTTCTACATCTTCTCCACCGTTTCTTGGTATAAACCCGGACGCTTCAGCATCCCCATACCGTTGCAGGATGGCTGGTAACAAGAGTCTATCAAACACATTTGCTTTACTTTCCCTTGCTTGCGGATTTGTTGACACATTGGCAAGAGATTCGTGGCCCTTGTAGCATTTCAGCTGCTTGGCCAAGGTCTTCTGCTGCCTGAATATCATGCCGCTTAGATGCATAGGCCAATGCTGTCAGTTTCAAAACGTGAACCGGTGGCGGTAAAAACGTTACTTCACTGTCACCCTACCATACCTTGGCATACCTTTCCATACATTACCATCAATTTCTCTTCCTGTCTCTGTCTCAGCTTTCGGACACCCTTCAAACAAGGACCGGCATTTTTGTGGACAACGCGCAGGCCAGGTCCAAGTGGAAACCAGCTGCAGTGAACAAGCATTGCCAGCATTGCTACACTGCAAAATGGTTCAGGATCTTGGGTAGGGAGGACATACTCATACAGTTGTGCCTCGATTTGTGGGCAGGTACGGTTGTGAAACATGGTGAGTGGTTTGGCATGGTGGCATACATGCATGTTTTGTCTACTAGCATTTTCACCTATTTCTTTTGCCGTGGCCGTTTGTACAGCTTGGCCCAAGTAATAGCTTTTCGCATTTGCACCAGACGCTTCTGAGAAAACAGGCCGCTGCCTCTTGACCTTTAGCCTTTGTCGCTGACGCTACCCAGCGCTCCGCATTGGTAGCGGAGCCCCATGACTGGGGCTGAACGAAGCTCTTCGGCTTCGGAGGAGAAGGCTTCCTCCAGTTCCGGCCGAGCCGGACCCAAAAGGGAGGAAAGGCGGGCAGAGCCTCTCCCAGATGGCGGCTGCGCCGCAGATACCGGCAGAGCCGGGAGGACTGGAAGTGCCGGTCCAGAAGAAGGAGCTCCACGACGAGATGAGCCCAAAGGAAAGACCAAGCAAGGTCGTGACAAAGGAAAAGGCCGCCGAGATGATGACCAGTCCCGAGGGCGGCGCCCCGAGAAGGGACAAGGATCCCGCGAAAGTAGCAAAGGAAAAGGAAAGAAGGGTAAGAAGGGGTCCAAAGGTAAAGGCGGCAAAGGTAAGAACAAGGGCGGTGAAAGCAGACAAGAAATGGAAGACCGGCTTCGCCGAGAAATCCGCCAAGATCTCCAGCAGGAGTTGAGGCAGACCATCTCGGAGGAGATGAGAAGAGCCCTACAGGGTGTTTCCGGTGCGAGGCCCATGGACGATGGGACATCTGAATGGTCCACACCAAGGGAACCCCCGAGCTCGGTGGGTGCTCCACGGCCTCCGGAACCATTGGGCCCGCCGCCAAAGGCAAGAGGTCTTGCCTCTCCACCACGGGAACGCCCACCTCCACGGCCGCTGCCGAAGCCGGTGAAGAAGGAAGCGCCGGAGCCAAAGGATCGTGAGAAGAAGCCTCCTAGGGAGACAGCGGAATCTAGCAAGCCGCCTGAGCAGGCGGCGCCTGCCAGAGGGTCGAAGGTGAAGAAGGAGGATTCACCAACAGATACCCACAAGAACCCAAAGAAGAAGAGCCGGGCTGCGCCCGATCCACCTCTACCTCCAGATGGTGACCCCGATTGGGATGACGACTCAGAGTACACCTATACTTACAGTGATGAAGGCCAAGAAGGGCCAGAGTCTGAGCGGCAGACCAATGATCCCACGGTGACGGTAACGGATCGGAGTGCAGCCGGAGGCTCCCGGCATGAAGGACCCGATCGTCGGGGTGAAAGAAGGGCAGATCGGCATGATCGCCGTGATGACCGTGACAGGCGGCGTCCTGGACCCGAGTTGAGGGAAGCTCCCCGCAGGCCGGAACGACAGCCGGTGGTGCCACCACCTCCTGCGCCACCCAGGCGCCGACGAAGGGATCGCCATGATGGAGATCCGCCGGGTGATGACGATGGCGCTGGCAGTGGGGCCCCAAGCAGGGATGATAGGTCGGCCTCCGAAGTTTCGACAGCCCGTACGGCGGAAGTCAAAGAGATGCTGGCCCAGTACAGCAGGCGGGACGACTCAAGAGGAAAGCCCTCTCTGTCCCAGGTGCGGCTGGAACCCTTCCGAGGTTCTCGGTCACAATACCAGACCTGGAAGCGCACTTTGGAGGCGCAAAGGTCCTTGTACCAGCTGAGCGATCCAGAAGTTGCCATGTTGGTGTACTTATCAACTCAGGGCGAAGCGAGGGCCATTCTGGATCAGCTGGACATAGCCGAGATGCGGGAGGAAGGCGGTCTGCAGCGAGTCATGCGACTTCTGGAGGAGTCGTTTGGCGCTCGCTCAGACGAGAGGTTCGAGGAGCGCCAGACCGCTTTCCATGTGTTCCGACGAACTCCGGGTATGTCCATCAGCGAATACATCTCCACGCTGAAGAGATTGCGCAATGAGTACTTGCGCGAAGACCCAGGTACCGTCCTGAGCGACAAGTCGTTCGCCCAGCGGCTGCTGAGCAGGGCGGGATTGACAAAACGCGAAAGGATGGACGTCTTTTTTTCAGCGGGCGGCAGATATCAGACCCATGATATCGAAAGGGTCCTCCGCTTCCGTTGCAGTCAAGTTCACGTGGATGAGAAGCGATCGGACTACCGAAGCAGAGGAGACCGGGATGAAGACCGTCGAAGGTCCAACTACAAGAAGAGGCCCCGGCAGTTTCCCAAGAGGTCTGATCGCAGCAAGCCGTACAGGCCCACTCGCCACACTGCCAATGTGGCCGGCAACGAGGAGTCCCAGGAGGAGGACTTCGATGATGACGATGAGGAGGATGATCCCGATAATGAGGATCTGGAGATGGAAGCCCTGAATGCAGATGAGGGCAGCTACTATGAAGAGGATTCCGGGTGGGCCGAGGACGACAGAGATCGCGGATGGGACGAAGAATACTATGAGAACTCCGAATGGGGTGAGATGGACGACTTGCGAGAGGCTTATGCCGCAGGCTGGAAAGCCAAGAGCAAGTCTGCCGAGCAGTGATTGGGCAGAGGATATCGAGGAGGAAAGTCTGGAAGCAAGGGCAGTGGCAAGGGCAAGAAAGGTAAGGCCCGTCCTGCAGACAACAGGACTCCTGATGAACGAAAGCGAAGCAGCCGCTGCAGCTCTTGCAAGCAGAAGGGCCACTGGCATGGTGACCCTGAATGCCCAAATGTACGCTCAGGGCAAGACCCTCCCCGAGAAGCACAATCGAGCTCGGGCACCCACTTCAACACCGGAGAGGAAGAGCCCATCAGCCGGCAGAGCCGTCAGGAGGCCCAAGTCCATCGAGTGAATTGGACGTTCATGGTTGGCGGATGGGATCTGGTTCAGAACTATGATAGTCCCTCCGGGAGTGAAAGCAGTAGCTCAGGAGAAGATGAACTGGCAGCAGCCGCAATGGCGTTGGCGGCTGCGCCCGCAGGAGAGTCCCCGGCACGCCCCAAGAAGAAGACCTTCAAGGTTGCGCTGAAGACTGTCTTGGAGGCCCTAGCCGCGGAGACGGACGATGACGAACTGCAGAAGCGGCTGAAGAAGAAAGAGTATAAAGCTGCCAGGGAAGCAGCTGAGCGACTCCGAAAGGGGAGCGGTCGCGGAAGAAGCCCCATGGAAACGGAGGTGACATCAGCGGAGATGCTTCAGATGTTACCCCATCTGACCAAGACAGAGAAGAAGACGCTCTACAAGGAGCTCAAGAAAGAACAGGAATTGGAGGCTGCCAAGTATCTTGACCCGGAGGCAACCGGGGACAAGATGAAAAGACCCTCGAAGAAGCACGCAGGCTACACGGCTGCGCCGAAGCCTCGACCGAGTGCTGCTGCGAGCTCGTCGGCTGCGCCGGCAGCACCGCCTCAGGAGATGCCTGAAGCAGTACGCAGGAAGAAGCTGGCGGAGTTCCGTCGACAGCTATATGAAAACAGCTTGGACAGAAAAGGACGAGTGCGTCCCAGTGAAGCGTCGGATTTTCCGACATCAGTCCAGGAGGAGTGCCATCATGAGTGGCCTGACCTCAGGTGGGGTGCAAATGGATCAGCTCACTGGGCGACGTGCCGGAAGTGTCACCTCAAGAGGGTGTTATACTATTCCAACGAGCACGGAGCACTGGTGGCAAACGAAGCACCTCCAGAGGTGTGGATGTTGGAAGGAGGATCAATGAATGTCATCTTGGACACCGGATGTCGCACGGCAGTGGCCGGAGCAGCCTGGCACCGAAGGTTCCAAGCAGAACTGCAAGAGCTTGGTTTGCCATGGGAGAAGGTGACCCATGAGGAAGTTTTCCGGTTCGGTGCTGGGGATCCCGTAGTTTCAACAGAAGCAGTAATCTACCCCATCACCTTGGGTGCGACTGGAATCCAAAGCTAGCTGCGCCTAGCTGTGGTGGGCAACACGCCACAGGATTCCCGAGTGGATTTGTGCCCAGCTCTGGTCGGACCAAGTGAGCTGGCACGTTGGAATGCCACCTTCAACTTCGGCGATAAAACGATGAGTATCGCAGACCGGCGACTGCCGATGGTGCTGTCCAACACACGACATCCAATCCTTCCAGTGTTGGAGCCAGGTCATAGCATCAAGGAGTGGCAAACGCCTGCCCTGATGGAGCTGAAGCAACGGCTGATAGCCGATCCATACAGCCTGGCACTGATGCAGCAGCACCTGGAGGAGGTTGCGGAAGAACATGACGGGGAGGCTCCCCGGGAGATTGATCTGGTCCCGCTGGACCTGGAAGAAGGCTTGGAGGCCATTGCTTTGGCCGATTGGCAGAGTGAGTTGGAGACTCAGGCCATCCATCAGTTGGATGAGGTACTTTGCCGGCTGCCGCCGAATGCACTGGTATCCAGCCTATCGCGAGAAGAGCAAAGCACCGACAGCGAAGGATCCATTAGCGAAGGTGAGAGTGAAACTTCTCACGATCCAGGGTTTGACCTGGAGGACAGCGATGGATCTTCCACCTCTTGCCAAGACGATGAAGTCGCAGAGCGACATATGGTGCTGACCACCGACATGAACGAAGAGAGCGAGGTGCTGAACAAAGGGCAGCGCCGCAGACTTTTGGATGCAGTCCACAAGATTGCAGAATCTGCAAAGGAGGAGCTGGTGGAAAGAGTCCCTAAGGGACCGTCCAGACCTCCAAGGCCCATCCGAAGGATGAGTGGCCTGCTGAAGGTGATCGAGATTTTCACCTGGTCTTGCATGATCTCGCAGGTAGCCACCTTGAGAGGATGGGAGACCTATGAGCCCATCACGTTGGATGCCGGATGGGATGTTTCAAGTCCTCAAACGCAGGACGCCGCAATGAAGTACCTCGAAGAGGTGGACCCTGACCTGATCATGATCGCATTTCCATGTGGTCCCTGGTCCGTAATGCAGAACATCAATCAGCGGACACCAGCACAGCGGCGAGCTCTTAGGTGGAAAAGGGCCATCGCTCGAAAGACCGTCCTAGCCTTCACTCGGAGGGTTGCTCTCTGGCAGAGAGGACGTGGCAAGGCGGTCGTGCTGGAAAATCCCGCTTTAGCCAAATCGTGGGATACAGAAGAAATCTCGGAGGCTACCGAGGGGCTGGATTTCGCCCGATTTGACCAATGCCGATTTGGCCTACGGCATCCCGTGAACAAGATGCCGATGAAGAAGCTGACTCAGGTCGCAGGCCAAACGGAAGTGATCCAAGAACTGAAGGAGGCACGCTGCCTAAGAGATCACCAACACCACCCCATAGAGGGTGGATTCAAAGGGGCGGATGGCAAGTGGCACAGCTTGAGTGAGCACGCGGGAGGCTACCCGGCTGAGCTCTGCCACTGCATCCTCAAGGGAGCCGAGGCATTTTGCCGTTCACAGGAGGCCCTTATTGGGGGTGGAGATGACTATGAGTTTGATGATACAGCGGCAGAGCTGCAGGACGGTGACGAAGCCCTCAGAGAGGAGGAACAGCTTGCCGAGCAAGAGGAGTTTCAGGACGACCCAAACCTGAAAGACAAGGATCTCGAGGAGGAAGAGAGGCATCCAGTCTCCGCAGAAGTGAGGAAAGCGGTGGAATTCACCCACCGCCAGCTTGGTCACCCATCGAGATCAACGCTCCTACGCATGATGCGGTTGAGTGGAGCGAGTAGTGAGGCCATCCGCTATGCAAAGCGATGGCGGTGCGATGTGTGTGCACAGAGGCAGCGACCTCGCCATCCGATGGCTTCGACTGCAACGACACGACCCTACGGGTTCAACCATCACCTGCACATCGACCTGAAGTTTGTCCACGATGTGAGGGCAAAGAGATATGCTGTGCTGTCAATGTTGGACCTGGGGACCAACAAGCACGACTGCGTGATGGTCAAGACCCGGCGCAGTGATTATGTGGCTGGCAAATTCATCCGCCATTGGTGCATGAGGTACGGAGTACCAGCTCGCATCACGCACGACCAAGGTGGTGAATTCGAGCAATCCTTCACAGCAGTGCTCGAGCAGTTTGCCATCGACTCCGATGTGACTGCAGCCCACGCTGGCTGGCAGCTGGGCGCAGGCGAGCGCCATGGAGAAATCCTCGGAGTAGCCTTGCAGGCTATAGTGGATGAGCACTCTGTGGAAGGATACAGAGCTATGAAGCTGGCCCTAGCAGCGGCTACGATGGCGAAGAACGCCACCATTACCCGTGATGGGTATACACCCAACCAACGAGTCTTTGGGGTTGAGGTGAAGTGGCCGAGCCTCCTGGCTGAAGAGGTGGAGCCTTCATTTGCAGAAGGAGTCAATACAGACTCCGAAGTGGCTAGGGCGCATCAAATGCGCACCACGGCTCGTATCGCGCTCATCAGGAGTGACGTCCGCGAGAAAATGAAGAGGGCGATCCTGAGAAAACCGGCCACATCCCAGGGGCCATACGCTCCAGGAACGCGGATCTACTTCTGGGTACCAGGGGTGAAGTCCCGGTACAGTTCCCGCGGAGGCACATGGCGTGGTCCGGCGACCATCCTGATACAAGAGCGGGCGAAGCGATACTTTGTATCTTGGCGAGGTCGACTTCTCCTACTGGCAGAGGAGAATCTCCGACTCGCGACGCGGGAGGAGTTAGCACTCACGGAGGAAATCAAAGATGAAGTCCTTGACCTTCAGGACATGCTCCGAGATCCGATGAGATCCAATGCCTATAGAGACCTCAGAGATGCAAAGCCACCTCCAAGGAGGCAACATAAGCGAAGAGCACCGGCTGCGCCGGAAACTATGGAAAGGAAGCGTGCCAAGCTCATGATGCGAGGCACGAAGTCGGTGCAGAAGCTTTTGCAGGATGCTGGAGCTGGAAAGGAGTTCAGGAAGAGAATAGCTCGGCAGCGACGCGGCCAGAAAAGGAAGGCAGTGAAGATTTCAGAGCCGCCTGCACCGAAAACGGCAGAACCTTTACCGGCGGAGCCGGAGGAGAAGTCAGAAGGCTATGACCCGAGCATAGCAGAGGATCCGGTAGAGGAAGGCCCTAGGCCGGAGGAGCCGGAGGCGCCGGACACAGTTGAAAGACCTGAGGATTCGGAAGCTCCGAACGAAGGTGGGGCACCCGAGCTCCAGGAAGAGCCAGGTGAGGACGCTGAGGTGGCACCAGAAGATGTTCCAATCGAAGGGGACGAAATCACTGAAGAGGATGGTGAGGATGGTGACCCCTCACGGTTAGATCCCCTGCGGCTCATCCGAGAGCGTGCCAGTAGGGAATGGCAAGGTCTTCCGCCAGAGGCGAGACGTCAGAGGTTGAACGACGATGTACCTCTGTCTTTAAAGAGGAAGATCGCAGAGCGACGTGATTTGGATGACACTTTCGTCCCGGAGAAGCGCCAGAGGGTGAGTGACTCCCTGGTGGCTCAGGTGATGATGGGCGCTTCAGAAGACGGACCGTCCAATGAATGGGTTAGCCGATATGAGCTTACGCTGCTGAGGCAGTTGACAGGGCTGCCAATCTGTGCTGCGCGGTTGCACCGTGCTCCAAGAAAGAGGTTCATGAAACCTCCAAAGATGGTGTCACGGTCTCGGTTGACCATCATGATCGGAAGAGACCCCGTAGACGCCTTTGTGGTCTCCGAGAACCCTGAGGAAGTAGCGGCCAATCCGAGACGCAGGTCATCCATCGAGTGGAAAGGAATGACCATGTTTGCCAAGGCTGCGCCTGAAGATAAAAGGGCACGGATGTACCCAACATACATCCAAGGTGCTCAAGGTCTTTATGAGGCCAGTCTGACCTACGAGGAACGCAAGGCGTTCGAAGAGATCTGGGTTGAGGACACCAGGAATTGCTTGGTGGCAGAGATCATGGCTTTGAAGCTCAAGGCCAGTGGCAAAGAACTCAATCCAAAGGCTTTCGAGAAGGATGAATGGGAAAAGTTCAAGGTCTCTGACCAGAGAGAATGGGAACAGTGGATCGACAACGTTGTCATGAGAAGAGTTCCCAAGGAAGAGGCGGCGTCCATTCCAAAATGGAAGGTGTTCAAGTCCCCACTCCGAATGGTCCGAACGAACAAGAGTGGTGGAGTGCTGTTACCTCTGATCGCAAAATCGCGATTAGTGGTGCCAGGTCATTTAGACCCTGGCCTGGGTGCGTTTCGCACCGATGCACCAACTGCGGCCTTGACGCCGACCCGCTTGGCAAAAGCGGTGGCAGCCGGAAGGGGCTGGCAAGGTTGGAGTTTTGACGTGACGACGGCTTTCTTGTCAGGAGATAGCACCAGCCGTGAGATCTACGTCAGAGCCCCGGAAGAAGGCCTGCCGGCCGCGAGAGGAGAGCCTCCGGTAGAACCGTTCGAGCTGCTCCAAATTTTGAAGTCCGCCTATGGACTGACTGAAGCCCCAAGGCTTTGGTATTTGCGGGCTTCACGCACGATCCAAAAGACCCCTCTCAAGGAGCTGGCTGCAGCCAAGGCAGTATTTGTGGCCGCGGAGAAGGGAGTCTCGTGGGCGATCTTGGTGCTCCACGTGGACGACGGCCTGCTGCTAGGGTCTGATCAGGATGTGCGATTTCAACGGTTGAAGGAACAGATCAATGGACTGTTCCGAATCAAAGAGTGGAAGACCGTTCCACTCACATTTCTGGGAGTGAACCTGGAGAAACAGGGTGACACGTGGGTTGACGACATGTCGGCCTATATCAAGGCGATCAAGATCCCAGAGATCCAAAAGAAGAAAGAAGACATCCCACTGGATGCTCAGGAGCTGACTGCCTTTCGGCAGCTCGTCATGCGCCTTCGATGGCCTGCACAGCTGGCTGCGCCCCAGCTATTGTATGAGGTGTCACTTTTGGCACAGAAAGTTTCTAAGGCGACGCACAAGGACTTCAAGGACGCCTTGGCGTTGCATGCCAAGTTCCTGACGGAAGTGGATGAGGGTAGAGCTGCGCTCAAATACCCAAGGATGAATGGCGTGCCATATCTGGTGACGTATTTCGACGCGTCACTCGGCCGAGAGCCCGAAGGACGCTCTCAACTGGGAGCCATTCATTTCCTGACTGATGAGGGAGTGATTCACGGGCCGCGCCCAGCTGCCGTGGTGGAGTTCACAACCACCAAGTCCACCAGAGTTGTGAGAAGCTCAATGGCAGCAGAATCTTGCAGCCTAAGCGTGGCTGTGGACCGCCACATGTATGCAAGGCTGATCCTCGACATGATGCTGAGAGGAACATACGAGGTCAAGCCTACTTGGCGTACAGATTGCCAAGTCCGTGGTGGTTTGGTCACAGACGCCAAAAGTCTGTATGATCATATGTCCACGACAGGACAGATCCCTCAGGAGAGACAGACGATGCTGGACCTCCTTGCTGCTAAGAGCCTGCTGGAGCAAGAAGCCTTTCGGCTCTTTTGGGTGCCCACACATAGGCAGTATGCCGATGTCCTTACAAAGAAAATGAAGGACCTACTGTGGATGGAGTTCATCCAAACGGGTACCATCTCGCTGCGCGAGACCCCAGCAGAGAAGGCTCTGGAGGAGCATCGTAAGCGACTTCGACAAGGTCAACGGCAGCGCCGGAAGACCAAGTTCAAGGCTGCAGCTGCAGCCACTAATTCGTGACGGCCACGCCAACACTCTCTTTTTGGAATGTGAAACATGGTGAGTGGTTTGGCATGGTGGCATACATGCATGTTTTGTCTACTAGCATTTTCACCTATTTCTTTTGCCGTGGCCGTTTGTACAGCTTGGCCCAAGTAATAGCTTTTCGCATTTGCACCAGACGCTTCTGAGAAAACAGGCCGCTGCCTCTTGACCTTTAGCCTTTGTCGCTGACGCTACCCAGCGCTCCGCAACGGTATGATACACTACTTCAATTTTTCACAACATGTATATGTCATTTTGCGTTCAGCCTAGCTGACAACATTCCATTGCAACACCACAGTGACCTGCATGGACTCGCGGCGTTTTGTCGAGGTGAGCAAGAAGACAGATGAGACCGTTGTTCGCCAGGAGTGGGAGAAGGAGAGACGACAATGGATTGCCACTTGACATCACTTGACATCACTTGACATCACTTGACATCACTTGACATCACTTGACATCACTTGACATCACTTGACATCACTTGACATCACTTGACATCACTTGACATCACTTGACATCACTTGACATCACTTCACCAAGAACAGTGCCTTTTAAGCGTTGGTTGCTTTGACGGTGGCAGTGTAGATCAGTGCTACGCCAAGAATCACTGAGGCAGATGCTGCAGAGCTGTTCTACAAAGTGGACTCCGACGACACAGGCTGTGTGGTTTTCGCACAACTGACATTTTTTTGTCATCTTTTGAACAACTTGTAGATTAGATCGTGCATACGGATGGCACTGCAACCGACAATGATGTTTGTCATGCATTTGTCAGCATGAGCTGACCTTGGGCAATTCACCTCTCAGGGGAAGTGACAAAGACTAAGCTGACAAGCAATCTCTACACGGACAAAGTCCAAACTCTCTTGCGCCCCAAAGCCGCACAGAGACTGTTAGAGGAGCAGACCGATGGATCATGACAGATCAGATTTGTTCAAGATGTTTCAGCGATTTTCAGCGTTTCAGCCGGTTCAAATGTGTTTGCCTCTATGGAAAATGGATGAATATGGCATGTCATGCCCTGATACATGATGACTCTCAGGAAAGTTGGGCATTCATGCTGATGGATATACTCCGTCCGAACTCTGGGAGCCTGCAGCCTGAGCTGCACATTTTTGAAGCTTCAATCCCTTCGACCTGGCACTATTCGCCTGTTTGTAACATTTCGCAACATATGATCGATCAGGGGTAAGGACCAGATCTCTCTTTGTAGCTGTAATAGGATGCACTATCATATGACAAGATATGACATCTACTATCTTATACTTTAATGACCGGGTAATAGCTTCCTTAGCCGTTACAGGGTGCACACGATGACCTCGCCTGCTAATCAGCTCATCATTGGAAACAACAATGTTTGAGCGAATGCAACTATACCCACGGTTGCCACACGTTGCGACCCATTTTCACGTCCAAATCGAAACAGGAGCTTATGGACCTTGGTGGCAGTGGAACGGTCATGCAGGTTCTGCTGCGCTGCCAGTCACTTCTTAGTGTTGCTGTGTTTGCAAGTTTCACGCACTTTATGATCTTTATGTTTAAGAAGTATGATATTTTTATTTTTGGTGTGATTGAATATAATATTGTGATATATTGTGTATGTAGGTGTATGTTACTGTTCTCATACTCTATGCGCTGCTAAATCTGTGCCAAAGCCTTCAAAGCAGTAAGTGTGAGCCCTGCTGACCAGAGTGTCAAGATTGCAGGCTGAGTTTGCTCACGCCATCAGGCCAGTTGATTAATCTTAGATGGTCTTAGATTCAGAGATTCCTGTTTTCTTTGGATTTTTCAGATTATGTTGATTCAAAATCTTCAAGCCATCTCCAGGCAAATGACGGGCCAAGGACGAGGCATTGACATCTACAGGCAAGGGCACAAAAAACATTCACACCAAACCACTTGTGGCACTACGTGGAACGCAAGGATCAAGAAAGACACGCGGAGTCTTACCAGGCAAGAAAAGCAAACGTGGTATTTTCATCACTGCAGCAGTAGCAAGAAGTTGTCAGTTTCTGCTCCCGTTGGAAACAATCTGAAAACAATCTGAGGGACTTTGCTGCATTGAAGAAGCACCTGCACCGGACTAAGGTTTCTGTATCGGCCGGACAGCATTGATTTTTGCTTCGTGATTCCCTAGAGATGTTTTGCACAGTTGGGTGCTACCACTATGTTTCTAATTCCATATCATTGAGAAGAGAAAATGGTATCCGATGTCAGCGGTACACCCGTGATTTTGCCGAGGCAGACTGTCTTCCCAGAGCTAAAGGGCAGCTGAAGTGAGAATAGACATAATTAGTGTATTCATGTACTATTGCGAATCGGAACATATTTCCTGGTGTTTGTACAGGTACCAGACATGGCTGCCATGGATGCCTGTTTGGCAGTTCTTGAGGGCAACTTGAGACCCATCCAAGATGGATCCCATTTTCCATTCGAAGCCATTCGAAGCCCACCCAGCCCGGCACTTCCGGTGCACGGGATATGCGCATCACTGCGGAGGACTCCACGCAGGGCGTTTCCTTCAGGAAACGCATGGCGGGTGTTAGAGTTTCACTCATGTTCTGAGTTGGTCTTAGATCTTACTCTATGATAATGTCGCAATCCGACGTCACCTTTGCCACTTCAACTACAACAATTTCAGAATATTTCAGAAGTGTTTGGACCTATTCCAAGAGCGGCAGCCACATTTTCCTTGCTACTCGTGGTGGCGTCGGTGTTGAAAACATCAAGCACGGCTCAATGCTGTGCTTCGTCTTGTGCGCACCTGGACCCGCCTAGGTGGAAAAGGATGGGAAAAGGATGGGAAAAGGATGGGAAAAGGATGGAAAACGGGTTTGCTTTGCATTGTTTGAACATTTGAGTATGTGTAAAGGACACCGTGTTAATTTATGCAATGCTCAAAGTTGGGTTCTGAGACAGATTGCAACAAAAAAAGCCTTCCAACGCAGGTGGGATATGCAACAGAGCACCCGCTGGAGATTGCTGGAAGGGCCGTGGGATCCCCTTTTGAAGACCTTTACAAGCCGAATCTGGAACCTTGACTCAAATGCCTTGATCTATTACAACATGTGGACTGGCTATGTATGATATGTATGTATGGCTGACACAGCTCAACTACCAGCGGACACTTTTCGACGGATGCTTAGAGTTTGTGCTGGACATTCAACGATGTCCAGCACGAACTCAAAGAAATCGCTTGGACCAGCGACCACCTTTGTGGGGCTTGCTTGCCCGTCTGCCTCGCTGACAGACCACAAAGATCCACAAATACCCTTTGTGGTCCGTTGACCTGTATCAAATCTCTGTCCATGTCTGGAATGCTCAAAACATTGCATCGGGATATTTTTGCACTCCAGTGGATGAGAGACCAGCAATGGGTGATAACTGGACCGTGCATCCTTACGACTGGACATGTTGATCATGTTGCAAAACTCTGAAACTGGGCTAGACCTATGAGTTTCACTGCGGAGTCCAAGGCCAGCATTTTGTTGGACGGCTTCGATGGTGTCTTTGCTCGATACTTGAATCCATCGGCGGTGGTGCGAGGACGGGTCTGTCGCATCGCGAACAACCTGGCACAAAGCAGTCTCAGACTCAATGTTGTCCATTGGCACCACCGGTACAGCCTACGACAACGTCGATTGTTCTCTATACGAAGTGACACGATTGTATTCTGTTGGCGCAGATTATGGACTATATGTGCTCAGACTTGCTGAAAAAATGGAGCCTGATGTGCAGCCCGCAAGGTCTTGTTTCCTTTGCGCCCTTCATCTCGGACACCAATGCCTCACTCATCTCCAACTACACCTCCACATGAGTTGGGAGACAATTTTGATCGAAGTAACTCCAGCCGCAGCCGGCTGGCTGTTGTGGTTTCGGTGAGTTGCTGAGAGCTGCTGGGAGTTGCAGTTGCTGAGCCAGCTGTCGATAAGTTGACACAGCAAACGGATGAGGGAAGAAAAGCAGGCAGAGTGACTTGATGCAAAGCCCATGAGAATTGCTTGAACACATTCATTCCAGGCAGCATTTTAGGGTTCTTTTAGGAAACATTTGGACTTTTCATACGAGTTTCTAAGCATCCAGATGCCGCAGTCACAGCTGGGCCCAATTGGGCCCAGCTCGCGTAAGGGGGGAGCGTTGGTGTGGACTTCTCGGAAGAGGCTGCAAATGAAAAGAAGGCGGCCACAATGGGGTGCTTCATGGTGCTTCCCTGTGCTGTGGGGATGAGAGGCAGGGGTGGCCAAAGACCCCCTTCTGGGCCATTTTGCAGCTGGGCTTAGCTCGCGTAAGAGATTATATAAAACTCAACAAGATCAAGACGATCAAGATATCATATCCCCAAAGCACTTGGCGAGCAGCCAGGTTTGCAAGGGGATTGAGTTTCGCCATTATTTTGCTGATCCCACATGGGCTAAGTAATAGAATATGATTCTGACACTGACACAAAGACATTTGATGATCTTTGGCTGTTTGGCTGTCTGGCTCATTCAACGCAGCTGGAACAATATATTCATGGAAGGCAATGGCCGGATCTCATTCTCATTACTACTCCATGCTGGCACCTAGGCACGGCAAGCGTGACTTCACATTTTTCACGCAGACATACGCAGACCATGTTGTGGGCAACTCGTGTGAGGATATGTTCAACAAACATGCAGACCCAAGAATCTAGATATACAATCAGATAATATCAGATATAATCATATTAGAGTTATAGTTCTAGTCACAGTAACATGTAGCCATTTAAAGACCTTTAAAAGCAGTAAACAAAACCCACTTTCTTCAGCTTCAAGCTGCGGCCGCGCACTGGGCTGCTGTGAAAGTGCCATGGCGCTGAGCGAGAAAGCGCGATTCCTCTACGATGCGGTTCTCAAGCCGCAGACCGATGCGGAGAAGGCGCGCAGATTCTTTCCGATGCTCCGCAAATGGGCTGAGACGGGCAAAGAATATCGTGGTGAAGTTTACTCTTCGGCTGAAGTTGAAGAAGCAATTGCTGCATTTGAGCGTTCTGCAGCGCCTCGAAATGTGCCGAGTCCCCAACAGCAAAAAACTGAATGGTGGCCAAGGTGGGCCTTGAACAAAGCCCGTGGTGTTGAAGTTCTTGCTCCATTGAAAGGCAAGACAGGATGGACTCAGGCCACACCCATAGCACTTGGATACTCCGGGCAAAAGAAGTGCTTCCTCTTTGTTCGGTCAGAGAGCTTTGAAATGGATTGTCGAAGAAGCGAAGTGAGACCAGTAGGTGGTGGTCGCACTGCACAGCAACAAATGGAGGATCTTATCTCCAGAGGGCACCGACCAGAAAACCACAAGGACTGGACTGATGGCTCTGGCATCACCATGTCGGACAAACGTGACATCAAATTCATCAGACCGGGTCTACCACCCCGCTCCAAGCAGCCAGATGCAGCACAGGCCACTGGATTTGCAAAAGCTGTTGATTATTCAGACCTCAGCCTTTTCTATGCATTTCTAATTTCTAATCATTGTCATTTCTTGGCAGTGCCGCGCCTTTATCAAGTATTTCCAAAACATTCACTGTGCCCATCGCTTCGTGCATGTTTGTGCCTTAATTAACTATTCTGCTTTCTTGGATAGGCGAGCGGCTCGGCGGGCATTGACGCAGATCTTGCCCATGTCAGCCCTGCAGTATTTCATACATTTTTATAGTATTCTGTCATTTTTTACTATGACAACAACAGATGAACGTGATAGTGTCGTGCCACGCATGACAGGCTTTGGAGGATGAGTGTGAGCGCATGACTCTTCTTCGGCGCTCCACTGTAGTCCACCAACTGAGTTTACCTGATGTTTTTTTTTTTACATTTTTTTACATGTTTTTTGTTTTAATTTTTACAGTACTTGGTACTTGGTCTTGGTGTACCCACATGTTTGAAAAAGTTACATAGATCCAAATGGACAACATCCTGATTCGAGGTTTGATCTGGATCTAAGATGATCTAAGGTGAAATCCATCACATGCGACCATCCTGACCCGCTTTCGGAACCACGTGCCGCTGCCAGCATTCGGTTGTCTGCGCCTGAGTCGATTTACCAGACTTTTAATCTGCCATGCCATCTATCCGAATCTATCCTAAATTGGCTGAATGGGGGATGGTCAAAATTGGGGGTTACTAAAATGGGATAGTTTCGTATAGTTTCCTCATTTCACCTATCCTATCCGGGTCCAGGGTGAAAGCCCATAGATGCCGATCGATTTTTTGAATCATTGAAGGGTTAAACTCTTATTAAACCCCAAAGGCATTCTTGAATCAGGGTTTTACATTGGTTCTATCATATGTTTGACCCATGAGGGTTTAACCTCAGACGTCAGTGTCAGCTTTCTTCAGGCCGCAGCTCAACGAGAGTGATGCATTGGCATTGCCTGCTGCGGTGGCAGAGGCACAACACACACACACTTTTCACAGAGATGAGATATAATATGATATATATATATAATGATATATTACCTCTGAGATATCTATTTTCATAGCAGACAAGTTTCAATTTGCAATAATGTCGAATAATGTGCCAAGAACACTATCTAATATTATTCTAATATCGATGAGATGCATTGTGTCTGCAGATAGCTTATCACTTTGTCACATAGCGATGTCCTTATGCGTTGTAGGGTCACTAGATCTGGAAAGGAGCGACTGTCCTCGCTGCAGCTGGAGACGGTCTGCCGGAGCCACAGTTCCATTGAGCCGGCCAGCAAAGTGGACCTTAAAGCATATTCAAGGACATCCATTTTCATGCAGGCCCCCAGCCAACTGGCAAAGTTTGTAATTGATGCGATGTGTTCTGTGAGGCGCTCACACTTGTTCACTTTCTGTTCACTTTCTGTTCACTTTCTGTTCACTTTCTGTTCACTTTCTGTTCACTTTCTGTTCACTTTCTGTTCACTTTCTGTTCACACTACAGCAACTCTTCCACTATCACCCGCAGTTGATGCTTTCGAGCCAAACTGCCTAGGCTTTGCTGCTCGACGCTTCCGCAACAAACTGCCAGATGGTCGAACGGCTGGCTATGTGCCCTAGCTGTGGTTTCCAATTCACACTAGGCAGCCTGGCTATAGCCAGGCGTATTTTTTTGGATTTCAAATTTATGTTTTGGGAGTCACAGGTACTGGGTGATGGCACTGGATGTGGCAAGGGAAGGCCTGAGGTTTTCTGGAGACTTCGGACAGGATGTTCGGCAGATTGCAAGCTGACTTTGATATCTCAAGTGTATTGATATGTACTGTATATTGATGTATTGCAATTTCATGAGAACTTCTCTCCGTGCTTCTTGTTGACATCCAATTCATCTGATTTCACCTGGTCACCAGAACTGTACCTATTCTGCAAGCCACGATCCATTTCTGTTTTGCTTCAGGGTCATCTCAGCTTTGCTGTACCATATGTGGAACTCCGGACACCGACGTCGGGCTGGCATAGTTGCGAGATCAGACTGCAAACTGAACGTGCGCACAAAACAATCAGAGCTCCAAAACTTGGACTCCAAACTTTGATGGGCTTAGCACCTGTCACAGCGTATGTCATCAAGACAAAGGATGATCTCATAGGTATTGGATCTTTTAGCTGCTTAGGCAACCCAAGGGAATGTGCCTACGACATGCAAACATGACCATGCTTCAGCTGTTTGAGATTCCAGGGTCGATCTGGGTGTCAGCAACAAGCCGCTGCCCCAGAAGTGATTGAATAGGTTCAGAATACTTCAGATCCTTACTTTGCGTTTGTTTTTCAATCGACATGAAAACGGGTATACATACTACAGTATGTCCATAGGAAAGAAATAATTTGGGAAAATCAAGATACAACATGCTCGTTTGGCCCAGGTGACCTTTACTATGATGCATGTCCAGAACCCAGACGTTCTCAGCAATTGTCAGCAGTCCAAAGCAACTCATTCTATACATATCTATACATTGTAGATGGATATCCATGGATTTCTATGGTATGTTGATGTCATTTGTTGCTGAGGCAGAGACTTGAAAGACCTTGGCGCAGACATTCCCTGCAGGAATCTCAATGGTCTCAACATGTCATGCTTCGATATCCCGATTTTCAATCTCCAAAGGTATGCCGATGCGAAAGCTGCCTCCAAGTGGTCCGCTGGACAAGAAAGGGACATCTGCCAACAAGGACAGATTTGCAGTTATGCCATGTGTTGCCATGTGTAGCATTGGACCGAAGATATCAAACCATATCAAACCTTCACAGCTTCCCAGACCGGACTTTTCCCTCAAACATTTGCCAAATTTTGCCAATCCAAACTGCCCTGGGTTCTTAACTCCAAAACTGCCTTTGTAGAGGAGTTGGTCCGCCACCTTGGTGTTGAGGGAGATGGGGTGGCCTGGCTGTCCTTTCATGTTTGATGTTTTACTCATGTTTTCATGCAGCATTGTTGAGCCTGGACTGACCAGAGATCCAAGATGATCCCAGATGATCCCAGATGATGCAAGATCATCCAAGATCTAAGATGATCGAAGGTCATTTTTCTGACCTATTCGCTTCTCGTGCAGACTGGCCAGCGAAGACAGGCACAGACAAACTGCTTCGGTACTGTACCGGTACTGGAAGACGAACTGCTCGTTGCATTTGGACGTGTGTCAAGATGTGTCCAGTAGCTTTCAAGCCTTTTCCTGGGAAGCGTTTGCCATGCAGGTCTACCCTTGCATTTTGTCCAGTCAAGAGGCAGAATCTCCGAGGGCTCCGGAGCCGAGTTTCCATTCCGATCTTCATTTGACGGTCACCATCACTGGATATCACCGATTCATTCTTTTGTTCTCTGGCGTTTGTCCACCCTCTTTAGGTTATAAATATGGTCTTGGAAAATCTTGGAAACACATTTTTGTGAGACGTCGTTCCAGGCGAAAGACAAGCTTGTGGAAAGCTTGGATGAGAAGCTGCGCTGTACTGAGCCAGTTTCAGACCTCAGCGACACTAGAGTGAACCAAGTAACGCTTCGCTGTTTTCAACAACAACCGACAACAAAGCTTTCAATGGAAATGTGAACAGCATTTGATTTTCAACCCTGAGGGCGCTTGTGGGGTTGATGGAAGTGGAGGTCAAGTCAAGGTTAGAGTTGGCGTCGGGGTCTCAAGCCTGTTCTGTCCTTTGCAATCCTGGTATAGTTCAGTCAAGAGTCAGGCGTGTCTAGTGTGCTAGAAGTGATAATATCCAAGCTTATTGAAGCCACACCTGGGTGATTCGAACTTGCCTCAGGATAGGGTTGTCAGCTTGAAGAACTTGAAGGAGCTACAGGCAAAATTGCTATCAGAGCTGCTATCATTCGAGTCATTCGAGGAACTGACAAGCTGTGAACAGCTGTGACATCTTGACTCAACTTGACTCAACTTGACAGGCAGCAGAACTTCCTCTGACCTTGTCCATCGAGCGGGTTCTGGAGAAGAAACCTTCCAAGGCCGTCAGAGAGCAGCATGGAACATATGGAACAAATACAACACGATTCTTTTTTTCCGCAGGCACCGTGCGTGAACACCCATCATGCTGCTTGGAACATCTTGGAACTACTTGGCACAGGATGGTGATGAAGATGCTGATATGGATTCAAAGGAGTGGCGGGGTTTGCTCTGTGGTGACAGTAATCTAGCATTTACAAAGTGCATGACATTCACAACTTGATTGAGGATGTGACACGGAAGCCTCATCAGAGGCTTGAATTGAACGATTTCAGGAAGACACTGGTGAGCTCACTGCATGGAATTCTCGGTCAGCAGCCGAGAAGCTGCATCCAGTCTGACACGCTTCAGAATCCGAATCTTCTATTGGAATAGATTGAAACCTCTGATCGATTTGCAAAGGATGGTTCTGAAATTGCATCTCAGCAGATTGAACCATCAACCCGACCCTGACGGACCATCTAATTTATTGCAAAACCCAACAAACTCATTAACAAGAAACACATCACTCATTTAAAATCATTTAAAGATGTCAAAAACGTGATTCTTGAGGCTGGGACAGCTTGTTGAATGGCTTGGAGGGGGCAAGGCTTGCGGCACTCCTTTGAATTGGCATTTGAATCTGCTGGTAATACAGCACTTTTGTTGCAATACAATATATGATTAGAATATTTTATAATATTTTATAACTGATTAGAATTGATTCTATATGTGTCAAGTTGCATGAACTTCCAATAGTCCAAGTAGTGCAGGACTTGCATGTTCTCGATCCAAAAGCGTGAAGATAGCTGGAAGATGCTTGAAGAGTCGAGTACAGACGACCGTTGTTGACATCGTTTGTGCAAGGCCACCGGCCTCATATGCTTTGATGAGGTTCACAAGGTGGCGCTGAATACAGTGCAACAGTCTCCATTTCAGTGCCTAGGAAATGGCTCAGTAACCACTTAGCTGATACTGTTAGATTCTGTTAGATCTGTTCGCTGAAAAGGCCAAGAATCTGGTTCCGGACAAGGACGAAAAGGCCAGAAGCACGAAAGAGATAGAAGTAACATGAAGTAACATGAAGTAACCAGTATCAAAATGTATCAGTAACCAGTCTTTCAACGAGTCTTTCGCTTTTCTGCTCGTATATTTCTTCATCCCAGTGCACCATAGTGCACCCGTAGCTTGGCCAATTTGATCTCCAGGCAAGCACAAAGACGGGACTGTACGTGGATCGCTTGCAGCAGTTCTGTCCAAATGCCACGGACTTGGCTAAGTTACTAATATGTTACTAAGCCAGGACAAAACAGAATGATGTGATGATGTGATGTGCTTAGAAAACTCAAAGATGTGCTTCGGTTTTTTGTTGTTTTGCCATGTTTTAATGTTTTATGCCCATCCCCGCCTACATACAGAAAAAACCGTTCGTTCTGGTCACTTCCTTCCGGCAAGGCTCCGGTACTCTATGTCTCTGCCACTGCTGCAACAGAGGTGCCGGAAGTGTTTGGGCGGGGGTCTGCCGGAGCTTCTGGCTGCAACCAGTGGAAGAAACATGACCCGTCACATATTTCAATATTTCAATTTACTCAATATAATATACGTATATATATATATATATTATATTTCATCTTCGAGTTTTGTAACAAGAACATCACCGACATCTGTTTCCTGCGGGGCTAAGACGGCTAAGAGTGCAACCTTATTACTCGATTACTTGCACTGTTTTGGTTTGTTTCCAGGTGCAACATCTCGGCTACATGAGCCGCCTGGGTGTCATACACTCAGCACGTGACAACTATACAAAATAGATCAAAATAGATCGAAAGGGGAAGATGTTGGAAGGGTATCAGCTGCAGCTACAGCCTCATACAGCCTCCAAGGTCTGGGGCAAAGGAACTGCATTTGACACCTTTAGAGACTTTCAGAAGGCCATCGAATCGAACGGTTCGCGTCTGAGTTTTGTGCGTTTGTCCCTAAGCGAGAGGCACTCAAGCTTGAAGACGGTTGAAGTGTTTTGCAGAGCCGAAATCATGACTAAGGTGTCGCAGCCATGGAAATGTTTGCAATGAACATGAAGGCTGTTGAAAGCAGGTCAAAATGGTCAAAACATGCTCGCAGCATCTTGCAACATGTTTGCCAGAACGTGGAGAGTTTTCTCAAGATGTTCGATGAGTTCGATGGATAGGCGATTGGTGCAATGTCCTGCCGTGCACTCGCCTATGTCTGGGTCTCAGAATTCCACTGTCCTTCTGCGACCATGGATTGTTTTGATTTGTTTTGTAACAGGTTGGAACGGAGTTCGATTTGCAGCAGAATGGGATGACAGAGGACTTCCATGCCGTTTCTTCATTTTCCTCGTTTGCTGCCATTCAATTTGCTGCCTGGTCTTACCGTTACCACTTCTATCACTATCTTAAACTGATTTATGAATATTTATGATATGTATGTGCGCACAGACCTGAGGAGCGGTGAATGATCGATTATGGAAATTTGCCAAAAAAAGAAGTCAACTGGTCTCTTCTGTGGGCCCTCGTGAACTTCAAGTATGTTCACGACGAGTATCCGCGCCTTTGTGGCCAGGAACAGTATCGCGACTATGATGCGGCAGCTAGATTCTGGACTAGGACTCAGCCGATGCAGCTGCGCAATGTTTGGGTTTGTTTGCTTGACCCTATTGTCCCTGAGTTGTCCCTGAGCACGTAGCTTAGCTGTGCCGAGGCAAAAGCTTTTGAACATGTAGAGAGCCAAGATGTTGCAGCGATATCATGTTGGTAAATCTTGGATAGTTGCATGTCAGTCTTCACTAAGGTTCAGAAAGTTCGTCCACAGCAAAGATCTAAAGGTGAGCTACCGCAAGCACTTTTTCAAAAAGCTATGGAAGAAGGAGGCAGTGATTTAGGGGCATCAGGGGCATGTCATGGTATTTTATGGTAAATTCGCCCGTATTAAAAAAACATATTATATAATTATTAGATATTATATATTATATGTATCAAACTATATGTGTTAAGTATTTAGATTTAGAGTATGGATATATGATGGTAGGTATTTGCATGGTATTTGGATAACCTCAAGCGTGGCCCAAAGTCTACGGCAGATTCCTTCATTCGCACGGCACTTCGTTGTGCTAGGAAGGCAAGGGCAATGAAGGCAGACCGAGCCGAGTCAATTCCAAGGTCGCTTCGTCAATGGCCATGAAAGAAAGACGTTTTTGGATGGGTTTACCATGGTTCACCATGGATATCCCTGAATGTACATGAATTTACCATGGTTCAATGGTTTGGTCTGTCCTGAACTGTCCTGAATCTGTGCCAAAAAAACATGTGCCAAATGCATGATTACATTCCTCAATTGTGTGTTCCATGGGCAGCTCTTTAACTGTCTGTACATAAGCGGTGCATCATCTGCCGAAGGACTTGGCAGATGAGGAAGACGAAGACATGGTGACAAAGCGGCTTTGGCAATTCTACTGGGGGGCGTCAGGCACTAAGATGAAAGGGGGACAACACATGTGACAACATTTTGGCGATTTCTGGGTGAGAGCAATGTTAGGGTCAGAATGAAATCCTTCTGGTAAACCGCATTCTGATTGCCATCGGTTTCCCCTGAGGCAGCAGAGGTTTTTCAAGGCCGTTTGCAACTCGGCCAAGGCGCTCCGTGAGAGGGAATGGATCTGCATGAACCAAACTCTCAAGACCATTCACATCTCACATGATTCATCATGATTCTCCTGTTTTCAACCACAGCTGGTTCAATGAGATTCTGAGTACCCGTGAGTTCCAGGCTTTTGAACCCTTTGGATCCCTTTGGCACTACCAAACTGACCTGACTTGTTGCAGAGAGGTCCCGGCTGCATGCGTTGCTGCCCAAGATGCCGTCGAACGGGGTGAACAGGTACCGCTGCAGTTTTGGGATCACTTGTTCAATGAAAAGACATGGATGGGAGCATGACACAATCACATAAATGTAGTACATATTGGTGTCGTAATGTATATTACTGTATCACCACAATATACAATTTGATTCATTTGTCATTTAACAATTTAACAATCAAAATCAATTGGAACTGGAACATACTAAACACATACCAAAAAACAAAACGATTTGTAGCTTTCTTGCTCCCATTTCTGTGACAGGTTGTTATCTCCATTTGGGCAACAGGAGAGGCCAGATCACGCGCCAAGATGGCCGGGAGCTCAGTCGATGTGTCGAAACCGGAAACCGCCTTGGCGCCCGAGCGCTGTAAGGACAAGCTGAAAGAGGCAACAGCTGGACGTATCACAGTTGAGAGTGTGCGAAGCCCAGTTGAACAATTAATAACAATTATAAAGTAATTGTAGTAATAATTATAGTGTTTATTGATCTTTATTGATCTTTATTGATCTTTATTGATCTTTATTGAAGTTTATTGATGTCTATCGATTTGGATCATACTGGATCTCTGCTTTGATGTGAAAGACTGACCAGGTGAGCGATGGCACTACGGAGGTTAACATCAAGGAGAAGGCACGATCTTCGAATCTCGCGTCTTCGCGTCTCGTGATGAGAACTCTAGGAGTTCAGTTTAGTGATACAACCTTCATCAACAAATCCAACACAAAGTTAGCTATAAATTAGCTAGAAAGATATCTGAGATATTCTGAGATGACTGTGCAAAACTATCAGCACTTCATGACCTGTGAAGATGTTTTGCAGAGATTGCAACTGCCCACATCGCGGCCTTTATCAGCAGGACACTCTGACAAGCGTCCATTCCTGTCTCTACGCAAACTTGGCGTTGAAGAGCAAACTCACTGTTGGTGGAAAGCAGGCTGGAACCTGTGAAGAGTTTGTGACCCATGTGACAGAGGATTTTGACTTGCCCAAATCAGCTGCTCGCTACTGAACTTCGCTGAACTTCTTGTGATTTTCTTCAGGTTGCTCAATTGAGCCGCTTAGTCCTTGCAGATGACAAGAAGATCAGCCGCCCAGAGGAGATACTTCGCGGCCTGTTCTAAGCCTTTAAACGACTTAGATATACTTAGATGACTTTTACTTTAAAACCCATCAGATCACATCACGTCACAGCAGTTTCTTGTGAACCTCCTGAACTATGAGGCTGTGACAATGGTAAGTCACCCCATGCGGCTCTATAAGGACCCCAATCAAAGCTGGCAGATGCTGCAGGATCTTTTGAAATTGTCCGTGCCCTGCAAGCTCGTATTCCGAACGCCCAGTGTACGTCGACTGGTAGACAGCTAAGTTTCTGTGTCTGTATACACGAGCAATGCCCGACCAACTTGAAAGGGTTTGCAACTGCTGTACACTCTTGTGTGCAACTCATTGTCAAATTCCAAGGTTGTGAATGCCCACACCACAGAAAGCAAGGAGTTTGTCACTTAGCCTTTGGAGCGGACAGTTGTTCTCAGAGTGTGCCCTTTCAGCCTTTCGGGGCAGAAAGCGATGATGAAAACTCTTAGCAGATCTTAGCAGATGTGTTTGGCAGATCCGATTCGATAGGTCTGATATGGTCTGATAGATCCGATGGGTCGATGTTCGATTTGCGGAGGCCAGTTGCTTTGGAGTTGGCAGAGGACGAGCTTGGCGAACGCATCGTTGTGTCAAAGGTGCCTTTGCTGCGGCTTGTGATTCTGGAGATGGTCAGGCTGCAACAGAGTTCTTCATGTCGCATGCTTTGGGAACCAGCAGCATGGGATTTGATCAGCGCTATGAATGAACGGTAGGATGGATTTGACATTACCTTATTCAGAATCATGTAAATGATATGTTGCACGATGGTTTCACTCAGCAGAGCATATCAATATTCAATGATCGAGGTGATCGAAGGTCCCCCCTCACTTCGTCGTGCCGAGCTTGAAGGCACGGTCCATGTCCACACCAAGATATGCCAAGTGGTGGCAATTCCGGACCAATCTGGACCATTTTCATCCATTTTTTGGGTATGGACTACGGTATGGACACCTCCTGTTAGAAGAATAAAGTGGATATTGTATGAGACGGCCAGGTTGGCACGTGAAGAAGATCAATGACAAACCCGTGGGCAAGATCAGGGTACGCTTCTTACAAATTCCTATGTCCTGTTCCTGTACCTTGTGTTGTGGTGTTTGGTGAGAGTGCAGGTGTTGCTGTCAGTTTGCCAGGTCGCAATGATTCGGCAGCGATTAAAGAAGGGTACCAGCCTGTCGTTTCAGGACATCTCGCTGTTGCAAGTTGATGACCCCAAGGATGCTCAAGGTATCCCCAAGGTATCCCCAAGGTATCCCCAAGGTATCCCCAAGGTATCCCCAAGGTATCCCCAAGGCGTTTCGTCACTGAAGGATCCGGTGATTGATGACCATCTCTCTGGTCCTGCTATGATTCTTGAGCTGGCTCCCCAGTCCCCATAGAATTTCAGGACTTAGACTTGGGGAACGCCCCAAACGCAATGGGATGTTTCTAGTATTGACCAAGTCACTAAGGCACTTCATCTCTTCATGTTTCCTTACAAAAGGCCGATGCGATTCTTGTGAGGCTCCCATTGTGAGTACACAACTTTTGTGTGTTCGGATAGGTGAGGATGGTGAAGAGGTACCATGGGCCAACGAGACAAAGACGGAATTGCTGCAGGACGGATTGGATTTCACACAATTTCACAGGGGACAATTGATCTGCGCCGACACATGCCGGAACACCCTTACAGACCCTGCAAGGAGGCACAGCATCTGAGTCTTCCACCTAACGCTCTGGATGATCTGCTGGACCGGCTTGGAGGTCTCAAGAAAGCTTCTTGGACGAGCTGGAAACATTTGCAAACACTCATCTTTATACTGCCATGATTTGACGGGGCACTATAGGTCACTATACAGTTAGTTCTAGAAATGAAGAGGGATCGCTTTTGAGGTTGGTGAGATGTCTGGCCGCTCCCATCGCATCAAGCGACGCAAAGATGGGAGCCTGGCTTGGGTTGCGCGCTGCGAGGACGGACGGCTGGGACGCAGAGATGTCGGGTGAATCTGTTTGGCCTGAGGAGCTGAGATGCCCATCTGATGGAGCCAACCTAGTGGAACAGGCTGGGGCAAAACAACAAAACAATCACAGGATATCCAGGATATGTGAAGGGACCGAAGGGCACGACACACACACACACTCTCTCTCTCTCTCTACCTGTCTCTCTCTCTCTCTCTTTTGTTGAGGTCCCAACATGGTGAAGAGATGTCAAGAGACTTTGCAAGCCAGTCAAATCAAGGAACATTTCAAGTGTGATGAATCTGGCGAAACAGCAAACAATGACGGTATCAGTATAAAAAGACATGATCAGATGATGTCAAATGCACTTTCTGATGATTGCGCCGGTGCAGCACTTCATGCTGTTCAGGTTCTTTTCCAGAAAGGAAATAAGAAGATTTGCGCGAGGGCCCCTGCAAACCCTCTGAGTCTTGCAGAAACTGTTTGCAGATCGAGTATTATTATAGATGATCTAGTACTGCATGCTAACATCGCAGGTGGTGACAGAAGTGGCGAGTGCTGGCATCTCCCTTCACGCAGACAGACGACAGGCTTTTTGCTCAGCATGATTTCCTTGCAGATTTCGCAGATTGCTAACATCTTCATCATCTTCATCATCTTCTTCTTCTTCTTCTTCTCCTCTGTACCATTATTCAAAAAAGATGCCCATAGAAACAAATCTGCATATCGGCATGCAAAGGCGACAGCAGATTTCCAGCCTCCAAGACGCCTGATGATTTCGTTGGAGCTGCCTTGGGGAGCCGACAAGGTGACAATTCACCGCAGAAGCTGTTCTGAATCCAATCATTTGCTGGTTCTTTACATTTCTTTTTACCTAATCACCACTGGTTTAATTGTTTTGAAATGTTTTGAAAGATCTTTCGGTCGTCTATTTTGAGGAGGGTACCACTGTGGCTTGCTAATATCTTTTTACTTTGCCACTGCTACAGCCTGTTTGATTCCAGTTTACTTTGTCATTCCGAAAGCTTTTGGGAGGCCATTCAGTGCTTCGGAAGAGTTCATCGCGCCAATCAGCTGATTCCACCGAAATTCTTGGTGCTCACTACGTCTTGGGCCCATGGTTCTACTCTGTTAGTGATACACGTAATGAGTAATGCAAGTTCACAGCTTGGGTGTGCACAGTTTGCAATGACAAGGCCACTTGGTGGCGAGGTTCGATTCAACAGTGCCATTGCCAGGTGCCTTTTGCATGCAATATATCCATGCTTGTCCAGACGAGAGTGCAGAATGTGTAAGAATTTGAATCAAGTTACATCCGATCACAAACTCGTCATGCCAACATGTGCCAACTGACTTCCATCATCTTCCATTCCCTTTCAACAATTTTCAACCCCTTCAACCCCTTCCAGTGCTTTTTTTTTGGAGGCGAATGAAGCTCCTTGGGGCCGTCACAAAAGGAGACCGGATGACCTCCATGGGCCCGGAGCCACAGACGCATCGAAGCCGGCTTCGCCATGACTCATCCGACAGCCCAGGTGGGGTGGCAGACCAAACCATGACCGACTTCGATGTGAACAATGCGTATGGTCAACGAGCCTTGGTGCTGAGCCCCAGCCGGCCCTGGCTGTAGTTTCGAGTAGTTTCGTATAGTTTCGTGTTCTTTAGAATCTTTAGAGTGCTTCAACGTAGGCTGAAGCATAGGGAGCTCCATGAAAGAGTCCTTGTATCAGAATCAGAGAGTGTTTTTGTTGTTTAAGTTAATGGAATGCCTGTGGCTATCTTTGACTTTTGTGCTTTGCCAAAGGCGATGTTTTACACTGACACGGCGAAGACACTGTCTGCAGTGTCCGTCGCTTATTTTCGGAAAGTCTGCAAGAAAAGACGCACTTGGAAAAGAAGCTTTCGACACCGCTGAGGCCCGAGCTATTGGCTCTGTACGAGGCTTCAAACAAATGTTGTAAAACGTTGTGAAATGTTGCGACATTGCGAAAGATCAAACATCTTGACTTATTGTCTAGAGAGTCTAGAGATGTCTAGTCTAGAATGCATATTTCCCAAATACTCTCAAATGTTCCTGATGGTTCTATCATGTTTCGATTGCTGACCCTGGAGTGTTTTTGTGAGACACCTGAACAACACTGCCAGGCATTGCCTTTCATTGGCGGTGAAGGGGATGGTGAGGCCCGATTCCGCAAGACTGTTTGCATTAGTATTACACTTACCATGTATATCCATGTATATCCATGTATTATCTGTGTGATGTGACTAGAACGCGGGACACTCTTGGCCAGCAGAGTGAAACGTCGCAGGCAAATGGACGATGGCCAACATGGCAGGCATGAAAACTGGTTGCGGTCATTGAGAGTCGGATGCAGTGAATGTTGCATGGTGGAAAGTGATGGACAGTGCATAAATGAACGTTTGTTTGGATGTTGAATCAGCAGACATAGACAGCAAAGCAGCTTGAACCCGCGTGACATTGAAGGACTTTGCGGAAGAGGTTTGTGATGCCTGGTCTGCGCCGGGATCTTAAGGCATTGACATTGAGCCACTGAGTGAGTCCTGGCAGTGCTGAGGACACGCCTTGGAGAAGAGATTGAGATGATGCTCCAAGAAAACCAGTCCAGGTTCTCACGGTCCTGCGATACTTTGATTGTTTTCATTTGATGTCATTTGTCCTGTCATAGTCATCTATATGCACATATATGCACCTATCACAATCTATCATAACTGTCATAACTACCACAATATATCTATATTTTATTACATTTCTATCTTCTTTTGATTTCATCTGCATCTCGTGAATCCCTTGACCTTTGCTGACAGCAGGAGCTGGGCTGAAATGGGCACCAAAGAGCCGATGCCTCGACTGGGAGAATCTGTCGGCGATTTCTAGTCCGGTGCAGCGTCTCAGGTCCGCTGAAATCAATCGCTTCTTCAACCGCATTTTGATGTTGGAGGCGCTATCGGCTGATCAAATACGGATCAAATATATGGATCAACTATTGATGAAATATCGGTCAATGATCAATCCGCATACATCCGCATTGTACACTGCTTGGGCTTCAGGTGATGGATTGCTTTCACTTCATCGCAGAAACAAAGTTTCAAAAAGCGTAACGTACCCGAGGTGGAGATTCAGAACGCCATGTTTGAGACCTTCTTCGCAGTGTACGCTGAACTGGTTCGGGTTCGCTACCCGGACTTTGGCAGAATGGAAGGGTAGCTCTCATATCAGTAGATGCACCTTCTTCGCAGGGCTTGGACGGCTTGCTCTGAATCCAGGTTGACAAAGCCAACGGAGTGTTCGACGAAGGTCGACCTGTGAACCATTCTAGTTTGGAGGGCTGTTGCCAGTGTTTCTGAACGTGTTCCCGAACGTCGACAGGAATCGAGAATCTCAACCGCGTTCAGGGCCGCCTGATTCGAGACATCAAGGCCCAACCTTTCTTGCCCTCCGAGTTAGGTGTTGATACCTTGTGTGAGACCATTCATGCCATTTCATACCATTTCAGGAGCAAACCATGCTGGTCAGCTTTGGTTGAGAAAGCAATGATGGACATCATGACATATAATATAAATATATAATATGTATACATAATTATATATAATATATATAATATATAAAAATAAATATGTATATATAAGTATGATATGTGATACATGCAAAGCATGATAACGACATGAAATGACGATGATCTTTAGGCTTAAGGCCTCCCTGTTTGATTTCAGACAGGGGGAAGCATCATGGAAGAGCTCACCTTCCTGGCAAGAAAGGTGAGGGCGGACCATGTGCTGGCATTCGCCTTGAAGGGCATGGGGTGGTCGACCACCAAATTGGGTGCTCTCTGGGGATGCGACCGGGAAGTCCTCGACTCGGTCATCCTCAGAGTGGAGGAAAGGTACCCAGAGTACAAGGTGAACGCTGTGGAGTTCGAGAACCTTGTGCAGGCGGCCGAAGAAGCCTCATGCATCATCTGGGCAAGGCATGGGGCGTTGACGGATTCGGATTTGGCTTTGGCGTCTCGCCTGGCAAGCTCGCGGACAGGAGGAAGGTCCGTGAGGAACAGATAGGGAGCCAGGTGAAGAGAAAGGGTGAGGCCGTCAGGGTGAAATGGCCCACGAAAGCCACGATGTTGAAATCGGCGGCTGGGGAAGATCTCTACCAGAGAGGACTGGTAGAGGAGGCTGAGAGGACTCGGTGGCTGAACGAGCTGGCCAAGCAGATCAAGGAGGCCGACACCTGCGAAGCTTTGGGAGCCGATCAGGGGCTATTTGCAGCCAGGATCGGAAAAGGTAGGCGTGCTAACACGCTCAGGAAGCACGTGAAGACGTGGGGCCAGTTCATCAAGTGGCTCATGGCGACCTACGGGGTCAAATGGCCCGAGAGGCCTTTTCAGTTTGCAGATTATCTCATATCCAGGGCTTTGGAACCCTGTGGGCGTTCAATTCCGGTGAACGCATACAAGACGCTGGTCTTCATGGAGCATGCGGCTGAGATCCCAAAGGAATACCAGCTGAACACCTCTGGGGCAATCAAGAACGCCATGGAGGAGGTCAAGCTTAGGCTGGAATCGGCGGACCAGAGGCCGAGAAAACAAGCTAACCAGCTGCTGGTGGTGATGGTGGCAGCGCTGGAGAGGAAAGTTGTGGAGGAAGGAGCACCACAGTTCAGCAGGGCCTTCGCTTGGTACAAGCTGGTCAAGGTGTGGGGTGCGATGAGGTTCCATGACACCGGGGTCGATTTCGGCTCCATGAGGTTGGACGGTTTCGCACTGGTGGCGGATCTGACTCGCACGAAGACAAGCGGGCCAGGAAAGAGAGTCTCGGTGCTGAAGCTCATCGTCAGCGCGGAGGCCTACATCGAGGAGCGCGACTGGTTGAAGGTCGGGTGGCGGATCTGGGAAGCGCTCTCAGAGGAGGCAGGCTGCAGGGAGAGAGACTTCCTGCTGACTTTGCCCACAACGGGATTGGAGCACACCTCAAAGAGGATGGCCGGCTATCCCGCTGCAAGTGGAATGAGCCAAGCCCTGTTTCAAGATCTCCAGTGTCCATGCACTGGAGGGTGGGAGCATCTCATGGAGATCGGCGTGGGATGCGTGTGGTCGGAACACTCGGAAAGAGTGACAATGAGGACATGGGCAGGAGCAGCCGGTGTTCCAGAAACCGTCTGCAAGATGTTGGGGCGCTGGACCCCGTCGGTGGACCAGTCATATGACAGGTCAGTTGCGGCGCAGATCGTGCGGGCGCAAATACACGTGGCGGAGTTCATCAGGAAGAACATCGGCCGCGTGGATCCCTTTGGAGAGAATGCGGTGTTGCAACTGGTGGAGGACAGAATGTTAGCCCTTGGCTATCATATGAAAGTGGTTGGGGTCCAGAGGGAGAAGCTTGAATGCTTCGTCACCGTGGGAAGACCTCTGAAGCGGATCAGTTGGTCAGAAGATACGGCATCGGCCATGCCACAGGTATCCCATGGAGGCGATGCGTCTGAGTCGGATGCCGACGAAGACAGTGAATGGGTTTTGATCGATGCTGCCACCAAAAGGAACACGGGCCTAGTACTGGGAGACTATGTGGTGAGCATCGTCGGCAGGGCCAAGACCAAGACCCTGCACAGGTATGGAGAGTGCTATCGACAGCCTGGCGTCCATTACCAGGTGTTCGAGTCCTTTGGGAGTGAGTTACCAAAGGCAAAGATGTACCATAGAGCCTGCAGGGTATGCTTTCCGAAGGCCGTGAAGAGCACGGACGATTCAGGGAGCGATGGCTCTGGATCCGATGAGGAAATTTCCTCCAGCTCGTCGGAGTCACTTTAAAGAGAGGTTTGAAAATGGTTTTGAAGCTGGTTCACGTGCACAGGTCTGGATTCACCAATTTGTCTGTGCAGCTGAGTTTTGCTTTATTTCGTTTGTTTCTGCCCGCAGCCGTTTCAGCTTCACGGGGAGCTGGTGGGAGAGATGATTGCACCTCCGCCAGACTTCACGGACGCAGAAGTCCAGAAGGGGTTCATCAGCCTTCTGGAGCCAGATTTTCACGGGTTGCTGCAGAGGAAGGAGGTCTCTGCAGTGACTCAGGCTAGACTGGCACATGTCGGTTGCAAGAGCCTGAGCCGATTCAACTCAGTTGCAGACACCAGAGTGCAACTGAGGACTTTCGCGCAGCAGACCTTGCAGTTGGACCCTGCTGCGGACGTTATGGAGGTGGCTGCATTGGTAGACGCCTGGGAAGCAGCCAAGGTCCGAATGGAGGTGAGGCACAAAGCGGAGGCAGAAGCAAACAGCTCCTCCCTTCCAATCTCACTTCCAAAGGTGGAGGTTCAAGACCTGGTCAAGAAATTTGAAGCTGCCTTCTACAAGTTGGAGGACAAGCTGACTCCAGCGGCCTCAACACTGGAGTTGATATTTGACCAGGTGGAAAACGGGGAGCTGAAGACCATGTACCTGCAGCAGTTCTTGTCCAAGGAAGACGCGGAAGTGGAGCCAATGGGATGCATGCTGGACAAGTCAGGAGTGTTGAAGATCAAGAAGGGCTATGGGGAGACGAAGGAGCCCTCCTCTCCGGAGGAATTGCGCCACCGGGTTAGGGTGGTCGCACATGCCTTCTTGATGTGCGGGTTGAAGTACCCGCAGAGAGTCGTCTTTGAGGACCTGATGCCTCAGGACTTTCTGAACTACGTGGACTACTTGCTCAGCGACCAAGTAATGGGGCTCAAGGCTGAGGACGAAGAGGGCAACAAGGTCAGCTCTCCGAGTCTGAAGCTGGTGCTGTCGTATGAGCATCAGATCCGAAAAGAGATGGTCAAGAGAATCAATGAAGGGGTCAAAGTCCAGGAGGCGTTGTTGGCGGCTCGAAAGGACGTCAACATCAAGGAGCGCTACTTCTTGACGCCCGCGGCCATGAACGCGCTGACGGCACAGAAGAGAGAGCGATCACGCTCACCCAGAGGGGACAGGCGCTTTGGTGGCAAGGGCTGGAATCCCAGCCGCAACAAGGGCAAAGGAAAGGGGAAGAAGGGTAAGGATAACCTTCACACGCACACCCCTGATGGGAGGCAGATTTGCTTCCGGTGGAACTCCATGAAGGAGCGCTGCCGATTCAAGTGCGGCAGGGTCCATGTATGCCAAAGGTGTCTTTCTTCAGAGCACCCACTTCATATGTGCAAGCAGTCCAAGAGGGATACCGCCGGGGAGCCGGAGGCCTCCTCAGGCGCCAAGTGACGGCGCCTTGCGCCGGGGCTTGGTCCGGCCCCGGTGGAGAAGGGCACCGCAGGGACCACTCATGTGTTTAGAGTTTTGTACCTGTTTTCAGGAAAGAGTCGCGAGACTTCTTTTTCAAAGATGGTGCAGAAGATCGCTCAGCAGCATGGGTTGCGGGTCCAGGTCACCGAGGTCGACATCATGAACGACGACAAGCACGACCTCGCAAAAGAGTCGGTGAAAGCTGGCTGGATGCAACAAATCCAGTCAGGAGTCTATGATGTTGTGCTGGTCACTCCTCCTTGCTCTACCTTCACCAGGGCACGGTGCGCCAACAAGCGAGGGCCACCTCCTATCAGGTCCAAGCAGCACCCACTGGGATTTCCCTGGTTAAGGACGGAGTTGAGAAAACAAGCCGAATTGGGCAATCGTCTTGTGGATGTGATGGAGGAGTGTTATGTGGCTGCAGCACAAGCCAAACAAAGGGTCAAGAAGCTCGTCCTGCTCTTTTCAGAGCATCCAGAGGATTTGGGGCGAGTGTACAGGGAAGAGGACGGCTTGCAGCTCGACCCTGCTTCCATCTGGCAGTTAGAAAGTGTGCGGAACTTGCTGCAGCTGGATTTGGATCTCTTCACGGTGGGTTTCAATCAGTGTTGTTTTGGGGCCCCCTATAAGAAACCCACACGTATTATTTCAAATATTCCTGGGTTGCGGTCTTGGGGGTTTTCAGGTTGGCCTCAGTTTGATGTGGCCAACAACTATTTGGGGCCCATTTGTCCTTGTGGCTACCAAATTCAAACAACTCTGGTTAAAAGAAGCAACTCAGAAATGTTCCGAACGGCAGGTACCTCTGCCTACCCTGCTCGGATGGACGAATCTCTGGCTCAAGCAGTGGTTTTAGCACTGAAATCTATGCTGTCTTCTCCTGCGGAAGGGGGTCGGCAAGAAAGCATAGATGGCAGTAAGTGGGGACCGGAAGCTAATTGGGCTTCTGTGGAGGGCCCAAGGGTGAGTGAAACCCCTGGGAAGGATGTGAAGGCGGGAGTTGAGAGCTCAGGGGCAATTGATGCCTCTGTGGGTACGGTTTCACACATGGTTTCAAGCTCGGGCGCAAACAAAGCCCCTGTGGGATCGGTTTCACACGATGTTTCAAGCTCAGGGGCTAGTGCGGCGCCTGAAGAAGTGGGAGAGTCTCGGTCAGAAGCTAGAAGGCCTGAGAAGGAGATCGAGTCAATCGGGGTATCGAGTGCGGTTGACGCGGGAGCGATGGGGGCGCATCCCTTGCTGGCTTATTACAAGGGAAAGCATAGGATGGTACACGACGGAGGGGGGCTTTGCTCTCCTGGTAGATGGCCAGTGGAGTGTAGGAAGGTGCCCGACGGTGAAGGTGCACTGGCCATGAGTGCGGTTTTCCGGAGGGAATTCTTGAAGTGGCTGCTAACCACAGGGGACGGAGGCAAGAGCGTCTTCTGGAGGCTAGCAGGGGGCAAAGCGGTGGAATCCCCTTTCAAGAGTCATTTGGAAGGGGCGAGGAAAGCCATCGACAGGGAGTTGAAGAAGCTTGGTGAAGACCCAGTGCGCCGAAAGGAGGACAGAACCTCCGAGATCAATTTTAGAAGGCTGAGATGTGTAGGCAGAGCACTGGGGGACGAGGACTGCGAGTTCTTGGAGGAGGTAGCAGCGGAAGGAGTTTCACTGGGAGTCGACGAGGAGTTGCCTCGTGTGCCCGGCGTCTTTGAGGAAAAGCTTAAGTGGGCGCGTGAATTCACTGAGGAAGACTTGAGACAGGTGTGGGCTGAGAACTACTCCTCAGCAGAGGAGTGCAAGGAGGACATCTGGCGGCAGGTAGATGAGGAAGTGAAAAAGGGGACAATTGTGAGGTTGTCGGAAGAAGAGGCGACCAAGAAGTTTGGAGAGAGACTGGCGGTGGCAGCACTTGGGGCCGTCCCCAAAGAGCTCAATTCAGAAAAGGTCAGGCTCATTCATGACGGCTCCTACTCTGTTGATGTTAACAGGAGAATAAAGGTGCGGGACCGAATGCGGTTCCCGTTGATTGATGATGCCTCTGCCGTTTTGCTTGAGGCGAGAGCTGTCGCAAACAAAGGAATGGGGGCGCCTAGGGCGTCGCTGGTATACGACGTCAAGGGCGCCCACAAGTTGATCCCCGTCAAGGAGAAGGACTGGGGCTTGCAGGCATTCAGGTTGCCTGGCGAAAGGAAAGGCGACGGGGTCTATGTGCACACCCGGGGCACTTTTGGCATCGCCTCGGCTGCCTACCACTGGCAACGAGTGGCGGCGGTGGCAGTGAGGACAGCCCACCGGCTATGCGGAAGAGATTTGGGGTTGCTTCACCTCCTCTTCGCGGACGATGGGTGGTTAGTGAGCGTGGGCAAGTATTATTGGAGGCCCATGCTTTTCTGGTTGTTTATTCTGGAAATGTTGGAGATACCTTTGAGTTGGTCGAAGGTGAATGGTGGCACGAAGGTGCAATGGATCGGTTATGATCTGGATGTGGACCGGTTCGAAAAGGGTATCTCCTCGAGAAAGGTCAAATGGGTGGCGGACTGGATCACCACCCATCTTGTGTCGGGGGGAGTTATGGGCAGAAATTTGAGATCAGCACTGGGGAGGCTGGTCTTTGTGGCTGGGGCGTTGCATCACGTCCGACCCTTTCTGGGGCCGATCTTCGCGTGGTCGGCCGTGCTCAGGGGCGGTGTGTACGCGAAGATGCCGGACGCGGTCAGTCTCCTCCTCACCTATATCAAGAAGCAAATAGAAGGAGACCCAATGGTTCAAGTAAGAGCTGTGGGGAAGCAGGCCCTGGAAGCGTTCCGGATTGATGCCAAAGCAGAAGGAGAGAAAGTGGTCATTGGTGGCTGGGAGTCGCTGGGTAGTTCGGACACTTCCAAAGCGAGATGGTTCTCCATGGAGCTGGACAGGAGGTCGGCTCCGTGGGCCTTCGCAAAGGGCGAGCCGTTCAGGACCATTGCGGCGCTGGAGCTCACTGCGGTGTTAGTGGCTGTCAAGTTGTTCTGCGTGGACGAATACTGGAAGGGTAAGCGGGCAGTTCTAAAATTGACCGCCTTCACCGACAACGTCTCCAACACCTACGTCCTAAAGAAGTTCCTAAGCTCCAAGTTCCCCTTATCGATAATTCTTTTAGAACTTGCAACCCAGTTGAAGGTAGCTGGGCTGGAAATGGATCTTGGTTGGGTACCCAGGGATCAGAACATCCCTGCGGACAGCCTCACCAACGGTATCTTCGATGGATTCACAGAATCGAAGAGGATTAAGGTGGACTTCAAGGACCTCAAATGGCTAGTACTGGACGAGCTCATGGCCAAAGCCGGAGAGTTGGACTCCGAGGTCAAGCTCGCCAAAACCTCGAAAGAGGTAAAGGGCTTCAGCGAGAAAGACGCTAAAGTCAAAAGAGGTGAGACAAAATGGAAAGACCCGTGGTAAGTCGTGGACTCCGAGGGAGGCACATGAAGCTGGCGTCTGAAGTGGGGGAAGGGCGCCAGCTACTCATGTGACAAAATGTCATGTGAGACAAAACTGACTTCAGGAATCTGAAAACTGAGGGCAGGAAATCTGATCGCAATGTGCTACTCATGTGACAAAATGTCATGTGAGACAAAACTGACTTCAGGAATCTGCGCAACCCCGAAAAGGTCGTTGCATTGAGAAGAGGAATGCAGTGTCATATATATATATACAATATATATAATATAATAGTATTATACTAATAGAATATATACATATATGTACAGTATATTAACACAATATAGGACATATATATATATACATAACATACATACATACATACATACATAACATAACATAACATGACATATGACAACATGACATAACATGACATAACATGACATGACATGACATGACATACATCATAACATGACATAACATGACATACCATGACATACCATGACATACCATGACATACCATGACATAACATGACATACCATGACATACCATGACCATGACATACCATGACATACCATGACATACCATGACATACCATGACATACCATGACATACCATGACATACCATGACATACCATGACATACCATGACATACCATGACATACCATGACATACCATGACATACCATGACATCCCATGACATACCATGACATACCATGACATACCATGACATACCATGACATACCATGACATACCATGACATACCATGACATACCATGACATACCATGACATACCATGACATACCATGACATACCATGACATACATAACATTACATTACATTACATTACATTACATTACATACATACATACATACAACCAATCCCTACCCTCTTAAAAATGAAATTTGAGGGGGGGGGAGTCGTACTGAAATTTCATTTTAAAATTCAATTTTTGCATTTATTTTTCTCAATGATCAACATTCCTCCGTCATTCCATATCATTGGTAAACAGATGAAAATTAAATACTTGCGCTTAGCTCCTCCGGAGCTAAGCGCAAGTATTTTCTAACCAGTGCCCAAGGCTTGTCAAGAAATGTTACTTCAAAATTCCATTTGAGCAATTGGATCACTATCCCAGGGTTTCCAAGAAAAAAAGTGGAATTCGACAGGTTGGTTTTGTCCCCCCCCGCCCTCCCCCTCTATAGGGGTAGGGATTACAACCATACCATACCATACCATAACATAACATATCATTACACTACATTACATTACATTACGTTACGTTACGTTACATTACATTACATTACATATGGATATTCTGTGATCTGTCGACCTTCTAATGATTCTCCAATTTCATTCAGCGACCTCAGGTTGACACCAAGGAGCTCCTGTACAAAGATCCCCGCTCTGGGGCCACTTTGCTCAGAGTTTGCTCAGAATTTCTACTTGTCATATCTTGTTATGATTCATCACTAGTTATCATAGATGGTCATAGATGGTTCCTGTGAAATTGACTTGCTCTGTACAGTGGAATTTGTTCCAGGCGTAAAACACACACTGCATGAGAAAGGACTCAGAATGTGTTTTCAAGAAAATTGCAGACTCGTGCATTATGTGCAAGATGGTCAAGATTATATGCTGACAGAATATCTTTGCAAGTGTTTGCCTTCCTCGCACATTCTCAAACTTTTCTGGAGATGATTTGACATGGAAACTGCCACGACCATGGCTGCCGGGGTTTCACCAGATTCCCTACATATTCCCCAGAAATCGCAATCCTCTCAGACCTTGATGCAAAGCGCTTCCAAGGCTGAGACCAGCTACGTGCGACTTTCTTTGGATCGTGGGATCTCTTGGGAGGCGACGGCGACATGCCACAAGATGCCACAAGTCTAGGCACAACTATTGTAACTCTTCGGAGTCTCAATGAGTCTCAATGAGTCTCAATGAGTCTCAAGTGCATGGAGGAGGGGCCCAGCAACCCGAGTCATCTCATTTCCAAGTGGAAATAGAGAGTCAACAGCTTGTCGTGGAAACAGTATAAGAGCAACATGTAATCATGATTAATGATTAATGATGTAACTTAGTTATGCAAAGAAGCCATTGTCCCACTCTTGCCACTGCAGAGGCTGCCAAAGCTGCCTATGATGAAATGCCAAAGCAAGGACACGCTGCTTCTCTGGGAAAAAATATGACAACTTTTGGAGTGAACCTGGAAGCCCGCGGCCTCGGCGATTCGCCGCCCCTTGCGCCATCTTGCGCCCTTCACTTTCCTCACGTCTGTGTCAAGCCAGGATCGATGGAAGGCTTTTATGAATACAGGCTGGTTGCCTGGTAGCTGATAGATTGATGATAGCATCTCATAATTCTTATAGCTTCACAGCCCCGCAATGTTTCCGTCACCAAGTTGTCATCTCAATTGTCAGTGGCCACGGATGGCCTCGGCGCAGTTGCATCCCGAGGCACAGTCCGCAAGCAGATCCCATCTACATACTTGCCAAGGAGACAACCTCTTTCCATGCAGAAGTTGAGTCTTTTTGCCAGGAAGGAATTCACATGTCACAACCATTCACAACCCTTTTCGAACGGAAAGGAGACGATCCAACTTGGTACGTCCCCTAGCCATCCCTAGCCCTGGTAGTCCTTTGTCATCGCAGCATATTGCAGCCACAACCCTCAGGTGGAGCTGGAGCTACCGGAACAACCTGGATTGCTCGCAGGTGACCGCTGGTGTTTTTCACCCTTTCCTCGCGAATATCTGGAGATATCTGGACCATTCCCGGACCTGGAATGTAAAAAATCCAAATGCATGCTATATAAATCTATATAAATCTATATAATATATATATATGTATATATATATATAACGCTTCTGATTCTTGAAGGAAGTAGCCAAGTATCCTGTCTGCAAAGCTTTTGGACCTGTTGGTTCCGTGGCTCAGGCGTCAGCGGCAATTTGCCATCTGGAGGGCAGACTGCGGAGCTGTCTGGTCATATGGACAAAAGGCCATTCGAAAATGTACGGACATTGCCATCATTGCCTGCATACCTGTGGTATCCGGTGGTAGTTTGAATTTGTTTTTACACTCCCTACAGATCCCTACAACTATCTACAACTCCTTTGCAGGCCTACTTCGAGAGTGATCTCCGCGGAGATTGCTTTGCTCGGATTTATGGTATGTTGCTCAGCTGATCCTGAAAACTTCACAAAGCTTCCTGACATCACTTGGACCCAAGGCAGTGAAGACGAAATAGAGATGGTGAAGGCAGGATGGACTGATCTCTATGACCAAACGGTTGGGCTCTTAAATAAAGCGTTTCAGAGAGACAATGAGAGAGGTGTAAACACAGAAAGCACGAAAATCACAAAGTTGGGGCAACTTGCATTGTTTTGACTGACTTTGGCATTGCCCTCTAAGGCTGCCAAGCGAACTGTGATGGAACACGTCCTCACAGGGGACGTTCTCACTGTCAAATTCTTAGGTTTTAAGAGCAAGACGATGATGGAACTCTGGTTCCTCCCCTGAGGCATGGCAGTTGGTGAACAGTGACAGGCGAGTCAGCAAGAAGTCAGAGGCCAGAGCACCCAGATACAAAAAAATCAGAGCAAACAGGCGCAAACAAAGAACAATATGAACAAGATGAACAAGGCATAAACATCATAAACTACAGACAGACAATGCAGGAAATTACGGCCATGTGGACCCAACACACTCGAGGTGTATGGTAAGTTTCGCTAGTTTTTGAGCTGAGGACAGTCCGCACAAAGGGCCGTGCACCCAAACCTTTTTATGAACTTGCAATTCTGTGGCTTCCACCAGAGAGATGATTACTATTGATTACTCAGCCGAATTGCGGAAGCAAAGGCCCAAGTTGCAAATCGTTCGTGCCATCACGCAGCCTCATGGGCTGCCAGCCACACCCTCAGCATTCGAAGCGCAGTCAGATGCTCAATTTAACTGTTGGCTTTTCTTGAGGTTGTTGGCATGAGATTGAGAGAGGAGGAATTGCCACAATTGAAGTCAAGTTCTCAGCTTTTCTGTGGTGGGTTTGCTGAGAGTGAGCAAGATTCTGGGCATCATGAGGTATGTGCTCTCTTGTCAGCAAGAGACTGCGCAGTCTGAGAAGCAGGATGCCATCAATGTTAGAGAGGCATCAATCGCACAGCGGATGGATGCAGCGTTTGAATAATAGTGAATATATAGATGTGAATAGTGATTCTTGAGATTTTGGGATATTTTGTGCAATATTGCCTGCTGCCAGCTGATGTAAACTGCAAGTAGTATAAGTAGACAGGAAGGCAAACGTGTGTCACCGTTTGTCCTTCCAACTCTCATTCTGAATTGCAGCCTTTGCCGTGGTTCCTGCTACAACCTGCAGGCGTCAGTCCGCGCAGCTGAGGTGTTGTTGTTGGCTCTCAGCTACTCTATCAGCTGCCATCAATCAATATCAATCAGAATATGTTAATTCAATCCATAAATCAGCATTGACTGGATATTGTCAGCATTGATATTGATTGATATTGATATTTGAATATATTTAAATTAGCCGCCATCGATTCAAACGCTTAACTCAGCATCAGCTTGAAGTATTTTGAAGCGTCAGTGTCTGGTGGCTGCTGAATTTGGTGAGGCAACACCTCTGGTCCCTGGAGAGCTGGAAAATGCCATACAAGTCATGGCTGGAGGCGCTGCAACCAAGACATTTCTTGTTTATTCCATGTTCCTTCGTAATCTTTTGCCGTTGTGATCCATTTCTATCATCTTAAAGTTTTTTTAGTGTTTTTTTTGACCGATTTTCAATGGCTGAAGATGGTAAAGATATCTATTTTCGATGGCTGAAGATGGTAAAGTCAAGATGGTAAAGATATCTATTTTCAATGGCGGAAAATGGTAAAGATGGTGATGGTGGATGCAGCAGATCCGAGGTGCACAAGATGCTCAGCAGCGAAGTGCCAAGCCTTCGATCCATCGAAGGTCTTCGAGGTACCCAGCAAGCTGTTGGATGCTGAGAAGATCAAAAGACATTGCTGCCTTTAAGCGACAAACATGGGATTCCAATGTCATTTCAATGGGATTCATATTGATGTAACATGATTTAGCCATATGTAACCATCTAACGTGGGGACAACATGGGATAACCATGGCTACATATCACTACATCACAGCACAACTTGGCATCCGGAGCTTTGCGATTTGGTTTTGAAGATGTCAGTTACTGCAGAATCGGAATCGAACACGTTGGACATGCTCTGCACATGTCAGCCCGATTGAAATTATGGAACATGTGTATGGCCGTACAAGATTTGAAGGTGCAAAGTTTGAGATTTAATTTGAAGGTGCGCCATGATTTGACTTGCTTGACAGCGCTTGCAAAAACGTGTAGTGAAAAACCGCTCGTCACAATGATCTGCAGATGAAACATTGCAGCCGTGCTGAATCAATCTGAGGTCGAGCAGCTCCAGCGCGCGAAATTGGTCACCCTTGTGGAAGGCAGCGTATTGACGTTGTGAATCCAGAGTCTATGTGGGTGTTTAACTATATATGATACATAAATATACATAATATGTATAGAATAATACGTATATATATATATATATGTATGTATATATATATATACAGATCATATACAGATACATGTAAGTATCATCATGCATGCACCTGTGGACGACTTGACTCGACTTGATATCCACCTCGCGCAGCCTCGGAAGTCTTACAACTTGCAGCATTGAGAGTTCAGATATCTGTTCACAGCCTATGCACAAGCAAGTGGATCAAGAACTATTCGTGCTTCTCGCTCAGGGGAACTCTCCATGTGCCCTCGAGCCGGTGGCAAGCCGGTGAAGACTGAGGACTGAAACGACGGTGTTGAAGTCTGAAGGATTTTCCAATATTTTCCATACTTCATCATTCTTCATTGTTTCATCATACTTCATCAGATGTTCATCATATCCTATCCATCCCTATATATCCAAAGGTTTCTTGGAGCACGTTTTTGAGCGTCGAAGGCTGACCTACTGAAGCCACTGGATCCTCCTCCCACGGGCAAAATGCTGGAAGAGCTGATGTACAGCCAGGAGCCGAAGATCTTAAAAATGGGTACCTCTTTTAAAAATACGTTCTTATCTGACAAATTGTATGAGATTGTCAAAATTGTCAGTGTACCATCATTATTATCAACATTTATCAACACTACGGTTGGATACTTCTCAAATCTGAATGTGGTCATAGCACTGCCGGGTGCTTCCTCGCTGGGTGGCCCCCAGGGTTGCCGTTGCAGGACGGCGCGCGGAAATCACATCGGACCGACGGCACGGAGTCCGAAGATTTTACAGGACGAACGGCACGGGATGCTGCTATGATGCTGCTATGTCGCTTCATGATTTGCCATGTCGCTGCTCAAAAAAAATACTTGGCAATACTTTAGATATCTTTAGATTTTAGTAGATTTTAGATTGTTTATGTCTGTTTTTTTTTCAAGGGCTTTGAGTTTCGAGTGCACTTCACATTGATGATAACTTGCCAGACGATTCGTCCAGTGAAGAAGAGGAAGAAGCAGAGGAGGCAACTTGGAGTTTTGATCGTTTTGATAACATCAAGCTGGAACTCTGGAGTTTCAAACTGCTATCAACGTGCCTATAGTTGCCCACCTTTCGATGATTTTCGCGCCAGGCTGATACCTTCACGAGCTCCAAGGCCGCCAACACGTGCCATCCTTACCGAGTTCCATGAAGGGACACCAGATCTGTAACAGCTGCGGCATGCTGTGGCTCTTGCTCCAAGGCAAGATGCAGAAGATACCCAGGCCACCCAAACGATGACCTGGGGGCAGTCTTGGACAAGGGAATGAATCACAGATTTCAGATGGTTTGAATATTTGAAAACTAAATGTTTTCCAATGCTTTTCAAAGCAGCTTTGGGAGGCCAGCAAAGAAGCCAGGAGAGCCTTGAAAATGAAATAGATTCGGATCTCAATGCACGCTTCACTTTGCACGCTTGTGCAGGAGTGACAAGAAGAGGAAACCAGAAAGGCATGCAACTTGCTGTTGCGAGATGAAGTCTTCCAAATTCCATGAACTTCCTTTGCTTGTTGCACATTGTTGGAGGCAAGAAAAACCTTCAGCGAGCAAGCGTGGTGCCACAGGCATGCTCAAGTGGACTATAATCCAGTTTGTAAAACCTAAAGTTTTGCTTGGTTTTCAGCATGATGCCCGGCGAATCATGCAAGGACGCGGGAGTAAGAGAAAAGCAATGCAGCAGGCCAGCAGCTGAGTGAACAATCCTTTGCAAAGCCCCTTGCGACAACTCAATCGAATTTTGTTTCCGTTCAGGCTGACCCCATGCTTTCACATGGCAGGCTTTGTTCGGGGATGACGATGCGGAATTTTGGGAGAATATGGATAGCCAAGAAGACTCTCAGCCGAAGGAGGATTCTGAAACCAAAAAGCGAGACCGTCGGAAACCCAGCATTTGGAAACTCGTGTCACCATCAGCTTAATTAGTGTTTCCAGAGAAATCTTGATGTGCTGCTAGTTCTTCCCATGTTTGTCTTTCTCTTCTTCATGCGCAAGGTGATGCTAAGATGAGGGGCCTTCTGTTTGGCGATCTTGATGAGGAGGAAACACAGCTTGACAAGATAGATGTTTTGACCATTCCAACAAGATCCAACAAGTATTCTTTTGATTAGAGTGTTCCATGATCTGTATCCCTGCAGGACAGTGATGGAGAGCAAAGTCAGGTTGGGGTTCAGTGCATCTCTTTCAGCGTCCATTCTGATGCCACTCCTTTCAGTAAAGGTTTCGAAGAAGAGCAAGCTGGTGGATCAGGGAGCCCAAAGTTCCCAAGGATCGCACACAGATTTCATATGATTTCATAAGATTTCAGCGTTTGTGCAAGGCTTACGAGACACTGCCAGGCATTTGTTGAAGTTTTTTGTGACCGTGGCAGGCACAGAGCTACCGGATTCATGCCCAGAGGAAACGCAGGCTCTTTCGCTCGTTTCGACTTCATGGGTAGTTTGAGTTGGACATCGATTATGTTTGACATTGTTTGATGCATGAAGATCATGAAGTGCAATAAGATTCATTAATTTGTGAGAGTTCCACTTAATTTGTGCAGCTTACATTAAGCGTCAAGAATTTGTAGTTTCTCTTCGTTGCTTAGGTGGTTGTGAGGGAGTCTTGAGGCTTCCAACTTCGCGGGTCGATCCTTGGGATCTCCACGGGGAAGTGGAGAGTACAAAGCCAGGTCTGAACTTTGAAAGCTGATGAAAGCTGATCACAATGATATCATGGCGTTTTCCAATGTTTCATATAGTTTCATGTCATGTGATGAAATTCCATGAAATTCCATGAAGTTCCTGGTTTGTATCTTCCCAGGGCGGGTCTTGCAAGGCAAGAAAACGGCTGAACCATGCTGGACCATTTGCTCGGTTACGGCAACTTGGCCAAAGGCCACAGCCATGGGGTAGCGACAGTTGCAGCGAGCGCAGTTGGGGAGACTTGCGCAAAAAGACCTGCGTGGTTCTGAGGAAGACAGAAAGTGAAGTTCAGCAAGTGCTTGAATGATCATGACTTATCTCAAGCAAAGTTATTAGTTACATGTGATTGCAGATTGCATGCCCTCACGATGCCGTGCACGGCCCAAATGTCAGAGCACTCGGTGTCCCAAGACACATGCTTTCGCCAGGACCTAAGATTTTTCTATGTGATTCCAATACTGCACCATTCGATTAAAATATCGCCATCCATCTTTGGAATCTTTGGCTTGTCACATGCCGAATTCTGAGAACTGAGGTGCTGCTGTTGGGGAGCAAACCATGCAGACAATGTGAGGCTCTAAGCTACTGCAGGCCAGCCAGGCTAGGCCTGTATCGCCTCTCAGCATCTATGATTTCACTCTAGCACTGCTTGAGACTTTCAGGTTGTATTCGTTGATGGATGTCGCGATGCCCCGGAGAGTGAGGCTTTTCCTCTGCTCCAATTTAGTCACATTTCAACACTTTCAAGACATTTCAACACAATGTGCTCGTGCAAAGATGATCCAACATGTGTATATATATATAATATAATATATATATATATATATTATACCAATATTACCAATAGATAAGCAACAGAGAGAGGGTTATTTTATGATGTTTCAGGATGTTTCATGTCTTGTGAATTTTGTCAGGCCTTGGAATCGATAGCCAGCTGCACAGTTGTAGAATGTTGATGAATGTTGTAGGTCCTTGTAGGTTCCTGTAAGCCACTGTAAGCCTTCCTGTAAGCCTTCCTGTAAGCCTTCCTGTAAGCCTTGGTGCAGTCCATGATGTCCATGGGAATTCCCATGCAATGCTGAGGCTTTGCCTGAAGGAACATTCGCCGCATCCTTGGCTGCCTGGGTCAGCAGGGAGTCTTTTCACGGTGGATTCAGTGGATTCAGTGGATTCAGGCCGTTGAATTGCAACGGGAAGCGTCTGCGACGTCAACTCTGGGGCTGGATCTAGACAAGATGGACCGACAGGCTCGACTGATCTCGACTGATCTCGACTGAGTGGACTGCAAAGATCTGCAAAGTATCTCCTCCGCACGCTTTGGTTGAGACAAGTTGGGCGAGTCAGTCCCCTAGTCCTGGAAGCTCAGCGACGGAGATTTCTCTGCTCAGAACCTCATGGTTGTCAAAACGCAGCCTGGCTTGGTGTCCGAATACAACAAGCTAGCGGCCAGTGACGAGGCATCTCTGCAGATCGGTCGATGTGCTCTCAACATTCTCAACTCATTGGTACAACCGGTGTTTACTATGCTGTGGCTATCATGTGCATATGCCATCGAGCGATATTGAGCGAGCCTTTGCTTCAGGTGATCAGGAAAGGAGATCGAATTTGGAGAGTCAACGGAAAGACTGGATCTGCAGATGTAAATTGCTGAGTTTCAAGCCGAAACCTTCGCTACTGTAGTGTGGCACCGTATGACACCCCGAAATTGCTGCCATGTCTTACGAGTTTGGCCTGCTGTGTGTACATGTGCGTGTGCGTGTGTGTGTGTGTTTTTTGACATCAGAGGATGTGGCAGCGCAGGATCATAACAATCATATGCATCTGTGATTTTCTGATTCTCAGGAACTATTGGAAATGCTCGCAACTGACAAGAAGCTACATTTGCTCATTCGTCGTTGCAAGGACCACCTCAGATTATGGCATTTCATGGCATTTCCATGTCTGTGGCATGGTATGGCAGGAAAAAGAGGTCTATGTTGAAAAGAAAGGCAAGACGTCGAATCCTTAGAATCCTCAATAGTTGCAGGGTGCTGTAATTTCGAGCGGAGGGACCTTTCCTGTACTTACTAAATTGATCTGGTTTCCAAAGTGCTATGCTTGTTGTTGTCCTGTATTCAGACCGCGATATTCGGTACCTGGAAAGCCCTGAGAGTATCAGGATCAAAATCTGAAGGCTGACAAGATCCAATTTGTTGGATCTTTTTTGCATGTTTTGGGAACCAAGGCTTGGGATTCAATTGGTTGTCACAGAGAAGGCTCAGCTGTTCACCTTGAGTCGTGGATATTTTGATATTTCTGGCATCCACTGAGTGGGCGTAGTATTCCAAGCAACACCCATGCCATAGGCATCCTGCCTGACAGTTGAGAAGGTCAACCCAGGTGGACTGGTCGCCACATTGAAACTCGGACCAGCTCAACGGATCATGCAGAAATTCCATACATTTGAAGAATTTTGAAGAGAATCATTCAGAATTGTAGCTGTTAATATTGTTAATGCTTTTTTTGCCTAGCATCCTGTCAGCAAAAGTTCTTCCGTTCCATAGTTCCATCATTTTTCAGATGTGTTTGAAGATGTGTTTGTGTCACAGTTTGAATGTAAGGAATGAGAAAACCAGCGACGATCGTCAAATCCGAGTACATGACAAGATCGTGGCTGTCGATGGCATCCAGGGACTTGTGACCTGGCAGCAATGCTGCGGAGCAGCTGCAAGGTGCCTGGTTCCACCATGTTCCACCGCCCCAAATCAAACCCCCCAAACAGTGCGAAAAGGGAAATCGCATCAGTGCTGATTTTACAAGTTTGGTGACTTTGGTGACTTTGTTTTATCTTTTTTTAATTGTTGTTTGATTTGAAAGAAGGACAAGCTTTCAGAGGGACTGGTACAAGTGCAGTTCTTCTAAAATATGCTTTAATCATACGTATTAAATCCAGCAGCCCCCTCTGATCCTCAGACATCCAAAAACAATGGAAAATCAATAATCAAGAATGCATTTCCTTTGATCTTGCCTGCGAACAGACTTGTGCCTATTATCCATTCGTTTTTCTCCAACCACTTATCCTGCCAACCTGGTGAAACAGCTATGTTGAGATGCTGCACTTCTAAGGCTTACTTGTATGATATGTCACATTTCAGATCCAAATGGCCCATGAAGTGTTTGTGCCACATTTTTGCGTAACACGTTGGATGCACCACTTGCTGAACCATAGCTGTTTCATTCCCCAAGGCACCCGAACTCATGAAACAGATCAAGGACAGCTCGAACAGTGCCCCAGAGCTGGGAAGCCTCCTGTGACCATCCATGACCATCCCAACATGCTGTGCAACCTGGCTGTTGGTCAGGAGAAAGACTCCTTCATTCTGAAACTTTTTTCTTGGGACATGTCCTGACATGTCCTGATTCCAAGTTTGCTGTCAGACTCTATGAGAGATAAGACCTCTCATAGATTGGATCTCTGGCCAGTGTCTCACTTTGAAAAAGTGAGTTGCCAGAGTCTTCCAGGTGTACTATCGAAGCATCGTTCATGAATTGATGCGATGATCGAGAGGAGGCAAATGCAAGTAGCTACGGTGATCTACCGCTTACCAAAGATCAGAAGGCATTGTTGTTTTGCCTCCTGGGTGGCGGGCTCTCAAAGCAGTACCTTGCATACCTTGCCATGGCCATGTACCCGCGCGTTGGTCGCTGTTCAAAAATCGGAGTCCCCGAGGTCCTAAGCAATCTTAGATCATCTTAGATCCACAGCGCTGTGGATCTATGGAGCTCTATGGAGCTCTATGGAGCTATATGGAGCGATGTTTTCTTGCGATGCCTCCAGCATGAGGCACAGAGGCACAGAGGCACAGACACAGCATGTTGTAGCTACTGTGCAGCTACTGTGCAGCTACTGTGCAGCTCGCATCCTGATCAGCGCTTCACAGACACGACCAGTTTCGCGATGAGTTTGCCTCCAGCTTTGCACCATTTCCCCAGGACATGTCATCCCAACCACGGCCTTATCACTGTTCCACAGAATGTATTTAGATGTGAATGTGCCTTAATACTATTGGATCTATTGGAACTATTGGAACTAGAGCGTGGAGTGTCTTACAAAGTCTAAAGGTTCTACCCGATTGTACCGCTATTGTCTGCACTTGTCGGCAAGCTACACAGTGATGGGCTGCGGATGCGTAAAGGCTGAAGGCGCGGTGCTGCACGAGCATCCATCTTGATACAGCACGCATCAGCATGCCATGGGTGCCAGGTCCAGATACGAGCAGCCGCCTCAGCTTCTGGCATTCAACCACTATGAAGTCTTGTTTGAATTATTTTGAAGTCTGATTTGAGTGGAAACTTGGGCATTCAATTGCAGCGGGAGCAGGCAATGACCTGAAGCTGGCACGACAGCTCCAGAGGGAGGAGGACAGAATCATACGCGGCATCACGAGGCACTTCTTCTTTGTCCTGTTTCTGGTCCAGATAAACTTCTCCTCAAACCTTAGACCATCGACAAATCACAGTTTTTGGATGTTTTTTTTGTACTTTTTTGTTGCATATTTTTGCCACACTGTGCCTGATCTTTTCTACCCCGTGGCGTACCCCAGGAGCAGAACGCTCGAAGAGCCCGGTCTTCAGCTGGCCCCAAGGCCAAGGCAGCGCCTGGTTGGCAGACCGCTGGCAGTGGACGTTCCCTTGGAGGCGAGTGCTTTCAGGATCTTTCAGGTGATTCAGCTGTGAAATCTGTGAATCCATGGTCCCAAGAACCAGAGGAACACCTATTTATGATGAAATATATATATATATTATATTTTACTATATATATATAATATATATATATATATTATAATATAATTATATAATATGTAAAGTTATGTATCACGAAAGCTAGCTTGCTAGCTGGAGTTGGATTTGCTTTAGCAATGAATCGGGGGCAGACTGGATACAGTGCCCCTGATGTTTCAGGTCGAACTGGTTTTGGGGCCCCAAAGATCAGCCTGATTAATCAGGCGAATCAGGGCGAACATTTACCCCCCCCCTTTGCGGGCTCAAACTCCTCTTGCTCACCAGAAGCAAAACCACGATACGACATGATACGACCATCTCAGCCCTATCCTGGTTATATCATTTTTACATACCAGCGTTTGTGGGGAAGGTTATGCATGTTTCTGCATGCGGCATTTTGGGTCTGATGCGTAAACATTCAGGGTGCTGGCCAAAACCGAAACCATGAGGCAACCGTACAAACCTTTTCCATCCTTTTCCTAGTTATATCATTTTGATGCAGAGCACGCGTTGTCGAGAAACATGACGTGCATAATTATTTCTGCTTGTAACCTCCTAGGTATGATGCACAACAAGTAAAATGCGCACGAACAATACAGTCATGATGGAACCATGTAAGCCTTTTCCTGGTTGCACCATTTTGATACAGTTAGTTAACAGTTAGTAGTGGAAATTTGCGCGCATACTTAGGCTCGCAGCATTTGAGATGTGCCACGCAAGCATTCATGTTGCTCATATAAGCAGCAAGACCACGATCCAACAGTGGAGAGATTATATTTCCACTCTGTCTCAAACATTCTGGCACTTTCCCTCTCCATATGTTTTTTTTCTCATTGCAAGAAGCCTCTCTTTCCATGATGCATTCATGTCAGCCTTTTGCTGGTTATCACTTTCATGCACAGCACAAGTTGTCGACAAGCTTGACATGCATATTTTGGCATGTGACATCGTGGTACGACGCTCAAAGAGTAAAATGGTCACCAAGAATACACAAATGCCAGAACCATAGACCATCATAAACCTTTTCTGCTTGTATCATTTTGCTGCACAACACAGGTAGTAGGACACATTTTCGCGCGTGTGTCAGGTTGCATCATCTGGAATGTGATATGCAAACATTCATCTTGGTCGTAGGAAGCCACACCACGATACAACCATGTCAACCGTTTCCTTCTTGGTTATATCATTTTTGCATACTACCGTATAGCCTTGCGGCACTCGGATTGCGTTGTGGCAGGGAATATCGTGGAAAGCTGCGTCGAACATAGACATTTCAATGAGCGAAGTAGAGGAACTACCTATTCTTGCACAATCTCATACAATCTCATTGCCAAACTAGCTAGCTTTCGTCCCTTTCCCTTTGGTCTCAAGTATATAATTATATATATATTATATAATTAGTTTATAATCTATATTAATCTATATTTATGAATGCGTCATTTTGGTCCATATCCTCCTTGCTTTTTCCTATGCAGGAATTCACATTCAAACTGGATGACCAATCTCTAGCGTTTACTGATGTCCGGAGGCTCTAGTTGCTGGTCAAATAGAAATGAATGAATATAATGAATATGAAACTCTCAAAATATCGTTGGATTACGACCACATTGCACTACTGTAGTGTTCATCCGTTGCCATTGCCCGATTTGAGATCCACTCAGAATGTTTCACACAGAGGTCACCATGTTGTGCACATTCCTTTGAACACCTTGACTTTGTGCAGGAGAACCAACAGCGGAAGCAAATCTCAGTGCGGAAGAGAAGAGACTACGATCACTTGAGGCATGTGTTTACAAGTCAAAGGCAAGTCTTCAAAGCCTTCTGCGACAAGGAACATGGATAAAAATGCAAGAAGCACTGGGAAGCACCCGGAAGTCCTTGACTCTTTTCTCGTCTTGGCTTGTGCGCTTGTTATCGGTTTAAGCAGTCCTTGGTGTCTGGTGTGGCAGTTATCCTAGGCCCTAGGCACCATTACTGGCATCGGTTCGCCTACCCAATCTCATCCTCCTTGTCCCTGAACGTGGAGGCTGCGGAGCGCAGGCAGAATCAGGTGGCCGGTGTTTCAGAAAAGAAGGACTGCTTCCTAAATCACCCAGGAGCTATAATTTGCAGATGATGTGAACAGCATTGAACAGTTGAACAGGTTTTTTGGTTGATTTCATGCTGATGTTGTTTCTGGCTATGTTGGGCAAAGTAGTGGACATATGCAATTTCCATCGATTTCCATTCCTATATCCACAAAAACCCTGACTCCAACAGCATACGACAGCAGCTAGGTGCAGGAGATGCGACAAAAGGAACAAAAAGATGCTCTCCTTGGCAAGTTAGTCGTGTCCTCAGCTCTTTTTGTCAATCTTTTTGCTTTTGAAACTTTGAAACAGTGCTGACATCATCAAATGATCAGAATGACATCAGTCAATGCAAAACCCTGTTGTTATTTGTTGTTCCTCCTTGAGATGATTCGGACATATTGGAACAGCAGTCCATGTTGATATAAGTTGATCATGTCGGGAAGGAGTTACAGAAGCGTTGTCCTAGAGACTGTTTCTCCTTGCAGGCCGAACATTATGCACGCCAGAAGTCGACTCTCAGATCCGGGAACTGATTCGCCTCAGAGTTGAGAGAAGGTGAATGAAATTGAATGACATCTATTTCTGTAGTCACTGTAGTCTTGTTGCGCCTGACTTCACTATCAGCCCTCACCTTCAACATCTTGCAACATCTTGCAACTTTTGCTCAGCTTTAAGGCTACTAGCGCCTGATCAAGATATCATCAAGATCATTGGTTTGGTAGTTTTGGTATGTCTTGGTGCAGCGCAAATGCAGCGCTGAGGTTGGAGATGCCAATGGGCCTCAATGCTGCTTCTGCCCTTGCCTCGGTGTGACTTTCAGTGGTGGGTTGAGGTTTCGGATGGTTTCGGATTTTTGGATTCGAGGTCGAGCAACTCAAACAACATTGGGAGACTGTCAGGAAAGACAAAGGTACCCAGAATGCAATTTTACAGCCGTAGCAATTCTTAGCGTCTAGCTTTTGTCAGCTGCTTGCCAATGCGCACAGCTTGCTCTCTGTTTCACTACCAACATGAGACCCACACCATCCACCGAAATATGGCATTGGTTTGACCTGACTTGAATGTTGCAGCAGCGATTCACCAATATGTGACTTCAGCAAGGAGCTCCGAACTTGTTGGTCCTGTTGATCCATCTTCAGTTTGTCGAAAGCTGACCTGCTACAGCTCAAGATGAAAATGACAACGGAACCAAACTTTGAACATCTTTGAACATGAAGCCCAAAACTTAAATGCAGTGAACTGATTGCAACCAATGAGAACCGTGGAACCCTGTTTGATTCTCCCAACATTTCGGCAATGTGGAGAATCAACAGATAAACCAGACATTCTTCATTATGGATTTTCAATGTTTTTGAAGACTCACCTTTAAATCAATCGAATTCAAGCCATCAACAAGTCATTTTCCCTTGAGGCCTTGAACACGATTCTCCGACATGCTCGGACAAGGGAGCAATCAGCATGGCTTCCCGAGATCGCGTCGAGCTCCGACTGACCTTTCCAGCGCGCCCAAGCGAGCGCAGCGAGCGCAAGCTGGGATCATTGCCCTCCTTGGGCTGGCTGCCGCAAGAGCTTTCCTCAGTGCGCCATCCCATGGGCGAGTGACCAGATTTGCAGACCCAAAGTCTCGCCCTGCGAGCCTCTTATACGAGGAAGAGGAGGCACACGACGATGAAGAAATTGATGATGATAACTTTGACGAAATAACCATGGACGCTATCGATTCTTTGACTTCTTTGGATGACGACGACGAAGATTTTGGCCTTCGTCCCAAACGCCCCATCAAGGCAGACGTTCACCCCAAGTTTAAGAGAGCTGGATATTTTGAACGGCAAGATCTAAACCGACTGGACGTGTCCGAGTTCGATCAACAAGGTGAGTTGCAGCGTCTCTCCATAGATGACCTGGAGCGAAGACTTGAAACGAGGTTTGGAGTATCCGAAAGGGCGAAGCCTCGCCCGAGGCCCCTGACCGAACGTGCCGAACGTGCCGAACGTGTGAGCGATGCGTCCGACTCGGAGGACTTGGACAACTACGACGATTACGATTTGTTTTGGAAGCCTGGCAGACGAGAGTTGAGACCAGCCAAGCCAAGTCGACCTTTGAGGCCAAGACCAATGGATCCAATGGCACAGGAGGTCATGCCAACACTGCCACAGTTGAAGGAAACACAGCAGAATGTGAAGGGCAGACCACGTAGTGTTGACCTCAGTACGTCCAGCAGCTGAGAGCGATTTGAATGTTAATAGATCAGACATGATCAGACATAATGGCGTCAGAGCATGTCAATATTTTTTCATCTAGTATGTGAAAGAAGGACAGGACACCGTTTTTGTTTTTTTTTTACGAGATTCGTTCAGATATTCATAGAGGACTTGTGAGTCAAAGTTTGATTGACCTGAGATATCCAATCCTGGCTCCTGGACAAGGAGCGAAAAGTTGCATTGAAATCAGCCTTCAAGTACACTAAAGTATGAGTCTTCAAGTCGTGTGGCATTTGCCGAGTGGCAGGAAAACACCAGAAGGAAGCAAAACAAGAAAGAGGATTCGTAAACATCTCAGAGGAAATCAGCAAGTGCACTAGGGGGAAGTCAAAAATCTGAATCGAATTGGTTGAAACATGTTAACACATGTTAAAACATGTTGCAACCCTTTGCAATTCTCCATCCTCTGCTCTCAAGGTCAGAATCTAGCGACCGGATCGGCACATCAACATATCGGAAGATGTACAAGGACAACTCCCAAATTGCTGCGTGTCACACACGTTGAGGGTCGCGTAGCAATCGCAGCGAAGGCTGTGATGAGAAACTACGGACCTCTCCCATGGAATCGTTTCCATCTTACAGTGAATCTGTACAGTTTGGGATATTTTGGTGCTTTTGTTTTTGCATTTGTGTGGCAGTTTTGCAGTCTTCTTTCATAGGACCAAAGACATTTCAGACACAGCCAAGGGACACCACACCTGCATTGCGCCATATGAGGTGTAGAAGGGCTGACAAGTTGGTTGGATCCAGCCAACAAAAGCTGGGAGGATTGGCCTTGAAGTTGTTGCAGGTTTCAAAAAATGTTGCCAAAGGTGGTACAAGTTACTTGCATAATTTTGCATATGATATATGACATCATTTGAGATTTCATCAGATTTCATTAGATTTCTTATCATGTTTGATCCATTTTGATCCATTTTGATCCATTTCCAAGGAGCTGGGTCTGAAGTCTCAGGAAGGTGAGGAGATGTTGGAGTCTGTGTCTCGATCATGGCACCAGTCCCACGAGGTCATGTGGTGCATTTTTTTCCACATCTATTCATCCCCATTTTCCAATTGTTCCACCATTTTCGGCACCATTTTTTCGGCAACATTTTCCACCTTTCCACATCTCAGGCTCATGAAGGAGTTGGGCGTGTCAACTTCTCAGGGACGGGTATCGTTGAAAGAGAACTGTCGCAAATCTGAAGCAGAGCTCACAAGTGCTTGTCAGCGCGTAAACCCATTCAGAGCAAATTCACTGTCTGGTCTAGGACTCTGGCACCTACTAGGAACATTGACTTCACAAGGTCCGTCAACAGAGCGGACTAAGGCTCACTCCAAACAGACTACAAGGCCTAGCATTGCCTGACATCATGTCAGTCCAAAGCTCAGAAAAGAGGTGTTCTCTTTGTATACCTTGCAGTCAGATTTGGATAGACATTGCTGGCCGCCAGTATTTTATGTTTTCCCATGTTTTGTTGTTTTTCCTTGGGTGTGTTGGTGCAAAGAACTTCAACCCAGCCTGCAGCATCTCAGTGCTGAGGGCAAGGATGTCATGCTCACCTCTACCACTGGTTCTGGCAAAACCTTGGCCTTCTTGCTACCTTTGCCAGATCCCAAGATATCTGAAGCCATAGACATGTTGGGCATTATTGGGCTCATGTGACACACTTGGTGGGCAGGTTGGAGAAGTATGTTCTTCCTTTGGCAAGAGGTGGGGTTACAAGGCGCGCTCGATTTGGTATTTTCTTGGTTGGTCAGATCGACCGTTTTCATCCGTTTTCATCTTTGATCATTTTTGCTTGTGTCACCAGATCACACAAGTCTCCTGATTATTTGGCCCAACACGAACGTAAATACTCGTACTATCCGATTCAGACGGGTATGCGCGTCCCAAGCAGAATGATTTCTGATTGAAGATCGCCTTGTGGGCGCTGTATCTCTAGAGAGATGTATTCACACAATCTAGACATCTACCATCTACCCATAATTTTACAGCATGTGGCCCCAAACTCGAAGAGGAATGTGACATGATCTTGGATAATTACCTTGGATACCTTGCATTATCTTGCATTGGAATCATTGGAATCATTGGATACCTTGAAATCATATGAAATCATAGTCCAAGTGCGTAATCTTTCCAAGTCGATCTCTTCTTCGTCCATGCTAGGCCGAAGTCGAAGCTGCCGCATCACTTGGCACCGAAGGTTTTGTCGAAGTCCGGGCCCAAAGAGCACCGAGAGCACAGCCGTCGGACGATTCTCGCCAAACCAGACCGCCTTTGCGTATCGAGGCCAAAGATTTTGGTTGTGGTGCTGGCCTCAATGGGCAAATTGGGCAAGAAATGATAAGACATGAATATCATATCTGAAATTATCATAAATTATCTGAATATGTCTGAATATCTGAAAGATTCTGAAAGGAAATATGTGCAATGGATTGTATGCGCATATCTTCAACATCATGGCATTATTTCTAGATGAACAGCAGGCTCCAGGGCGGGAACTGTCTCGTCAGATTTCACGCCATGCTGGCAAATTTCGGGATGGACTGCTGCACGAGTGACTGTGCACCATTCCTTGTCCTTTGATAGCTACAAATCCTTTACATTGCTATTCCACCAGGCGGTTCTTGCCTCTCGCCATGGCAGGTGTTGTCAAGGATTTACTGAGCCCTTTCAGCCCAACCTTGAATGTCACGGTTCTGGTTGGCAAAGACAACCACAAGCGACAGGCACGCTGAATCACGCTGATATACAGGTGGTGCCAGAATTATAGAGCGGAGCCAGGAGTACAAAAGTACGGTAAAATACCGTACCTTTGTACTCCTCCGGGTTCCGATTCCGCGCGGAGTCGGGAAATTTAATTATAGAACGGGGATCCGTTCTATAATTAAATTTCCCCGTTCTATATTTAAATTACTCCTGGCTCCGATCTATAATACATGTCAGTGCAAAGTGCAATGATCGCTGGATCGCCGGCAGGATGAGAACCTTCGAGACAGGCCTTGCGTGAGTTTTGTCACACAGATGAGATTGCTGTCGTTGTGCCGAACCTTCAAGCTGATTGCATATTTGATGGAATCAACGAATGCTTAAATAGGACCCAGGAATACCCAGGATAATTTTGCTAGAAATAACGACCGAAGACGACCATGAGTAAAGGATACTCATGATACTCTGTCAAGAGGCAACCGGTTGTGGTTGTCGGCACTCCTGGAAAGCTCATGGACCATGCCATGGAAGGCACCTTGGCTAGTTGGGGAGTGCTGCATGCAACATGTCATCCAACGAAAGGTATTGTTTCATATTTATTCATATTTCGTTATAGTTGGTTGTTCACCTTCACTGCTGCTGATTTGCCTGGGAAGTGGTTCTCGATTGTGTTGGGTTTGCTAAATGTTCTCATTTGCAATGCAGAATCCATATGAATTAATTTACCACAGGGGAAGTGCCAACTGATTAGGCCGTTTGATACTTAACGAGCTCAATGCCATTGTCATTGATGAAGTCGACTCCCTCTTGAGCATGTCCCGACAGGACTGACGAATTCGGGGTGCACCTGATGATTTTAGACTTGTGGCATTTCTTTTCTGGATGATCCTCCATGATCCAGAGGACCATGTTGAGCTTTTACTTCAGCACTTGGGCATCAACGACCAAGCACAGTTAGCGCCTCACAACAAACAGAAAGGAGTGCAATACTGATGACACCAAGCTCCCTGAACACACGGAGTCACGTATCTTCCCATGAAGAATTTCGCGACGTCCATCCTGTCTAACAAGCTTTCCTTTCAACGCCAACCAGTGCCATTTCCCCTCTGCGGTGAGGGTGAGTCCTTCAAGCGTCAGCATTGCAAGACTAAGGCGGATCCTCGTCTCAGCCAGTGGGTCAATGGAAGGTGATGCCATTGGCTTTGCAGAGGCAGGGGTGAAACCCATGGTGATAACAGTAGTCATGGTGAAGGAACAATGTGGCAATCATATGCAATCGTGTCGTATCGTGTCTTCACAGCATCTTAAACACTGAACATCTCTGCAAGCTGCGAGTGCCTTGAGTTTGTTTGAGGCAATCTTGCGGGATGGTTGGAAGCTGGTTGGCCCGTGCAGCACTTAGTTGCACCGTGGAGCCGCATGAGCTTCATTTGATAGCCCAAGCATTGAGGAAACATGGCATGGAGCTGCCCAAACGAGCCTGGATCTTGATGGAAGAAATGCGGAAAATGTGGAAGATGGTAGCAACATTACATTACGGACATATCGTTGCTCAGATTGTCACAGACATGCAGGCTCTTGAGATCGCTTCATCATTCGCTTTCCCAGAGCTCTGAAACCTCTGTGATCATCCATGGATGTTCCACCCATCCTTGTTGGCGATCGTGACCTCAAGGTACTTCACCTAGTCAATGGAGCACCAGAAGCTTGGGCTGCAATCTCCTGGTATCATGAAATAGTTGTGAGTTCAGATAAGGTCGACCAGCCCGCTAGGTTTTATCCCGATCCAGTTGTACTTCAAGTATTAGCCAAGGACGTCAACAAGAAGTTGGGCTTCTTGAAGCTGCTCCGCCTTGTTTGCAGTGTTGGGTACTGTACAGCGCAAGTCTGCGTGGTTTGGTGTCAGAATGTGTTAGCTGTATCTTCTCTACCAGATGCTGGAAGGCGCTTGTCTACATCAAGCCCAGAGTGCAACATGATGCTTGTGTCAGCGCCTTTGTAAGCTGCTGAAACAGAAGTTGGTTTTGTATGGTTTTGGTGCTGTATGTTTCTGATTGTTTCTCTATGGTCTTGTTATGTCAGCAGTGATGTGCAGTCTTCCTCGAATGCAATCCATTCTGAACTTTTTCCACCGGTATAGATCTTGCAACATGAAGCCAATAGTCTGAAATTTGATCAGAAGCGACACCCAGAGTCACTCCTTGCATCTGTCAAGACCATCTTGCAACCAGCTACTTTCTCCAAGGTTTTGCAACAACCATGAACGAGTGAGAAAGGCACGGATTAAAAATTATTCATTCACGCATGCTTGTGATTTTATCAACTTTGTCAGGCGTTCGTGAATCCCTTGCGTTCCTTGCTCTCCTGCTCAACAGGTTTCCGAACAAATGAACGAGCGAAAGATTCCAACAGAGTTCCTCACGGGCAACCGAACAAAGGCAGAAGAGTGTTGACCATAGCAGTGACAACACGACCTGCTATGCATGGCGATGCGTGGCGGATGGTAGGTCCATGCAATGTTCCGTGTGTCCAGACATGCCATTGCGCTGGTCTTTTGTCATGGAGGAAGCCCGCGACCGGGCCATTCGAAGCTTCGTCAAGCATGAGGCATGGCATGGCGCTTGAAATCTTAGAATTTCCATTTAATTTGATGAAGGATGATGAAGGATAAGAGATGATGATACAGCGAATCGCTTCAGGTTCAGGCTTTGGTGGCGACAGAGCTCTTCTCAGTTACCCTCCAAAGTAGAGAAAAGAGAGAATAGCGAATAGCAAGGAATAGCAATGAAAAGTCTTTGTGAAACGATCGAAGATCATTTATTCCTGCAGCTGCAACAGACTCGACCAAACTCTTGTCTAAGGATGCTGCAATGCGAGGTTTGGACTTCAGGCACCCGTGCTGACTGGATCTGAGTGATTTCTTGTCAGAGGATCAACGGAAAACTATCCACTTTCTGTTTACATTCTATCCTGATCATTTTGAGGACCCTGACTCTAATCATGGGAGATGTTGAGGGCTGAAGTGGACAAGAGAGTTTCAAGAAGGAAGACTTTTTTACGTACGATAGCTGAACGTGTGTTGTAGATGCCTGTAAGTTTGTTTGATTTTGTTTGTATTGCTAGGATGAAAGGGCTCGAAAAAGGATTTCCAATGTCACAAAGCCCGTGTCAACGCCCCTGTTAGGGACCTGACCCACGTGGTGAACTTTGAGTTGCCTGGGAATGCCGCAACCTATGCCCACCGGGCTGGCCGTTGTGGCCGAATGGGCACCTTGTCTAAAGAGTGGAGTGGTTGAAAGATGCTGAAAGGCACGATCAGACTCCAACAATCTCCACAACTTGCAGGTTATAATGGCATCGTCATAAATCTGGCATCTGGTGGTTACCTCAACAAGAGGCTGGATGCAGCATGATGCAGCATGCATGAAAACCATTCAAAACCCAACGAGAGTGAGAGTGAATTTACATGAATTTACCATAGACCAAAGACATCATATATCATTTATATATACTGACATATCATATAATATATCATATATCCTGAATATATCCTCACTGTTCTTGCTTTTGCATAGTTTTGCAAAGGACAGGCACAGTTTCGGCTCTCAATTTGGGTGTGCCTGAGGCTCCGAAACTACTCTCGGCAGCTGGACTTTGAAGTCATTGAGGCAAATGTCAATGATGGAGTTCTGGGAGTTTTATTCTCAGAAGGTGATGGCAGCATATGGGATGGTATGGGATGGTATGGGATGGTATGGGATGGTAACGAATGGTATGGGTATGTGTTGGTCAAGCTTAGAGAGCACGTAAAATTGGACGCTTAGCAATAGACTCAATAGACATCAATAGACCAAAACGTGTGAGTTTGGGGGTGAAGTAGAACAAAGGTGTAGAAAAGGACGGCCACAAGTCTAGCGGCCATAGCGGCCATAGCGTAGCTGGAGATATCGATGCCAACAGCATCCACATGTTCTGAATCTGAGGCCGACCTAGCCATTGCATACCGTCGGATGCCAAGCCATATCCTTCAGACGCAACAGACCCACGTAACCTACTCGTAGCAGCAGGTTTTAACATGACTTTCATGTGAAGAAAGCACAATTCAGCAACTTTTCAATGATGATTGGATACGATCGGATTGTACTAAATTATGTTTATTCTATGCGTTTTGCATTCTTGGAGTAGCATGCTTTGCTTCTTTCCCTCCCCTCTGTTCCAGAGTCAAGATTCTCGAGCAAACATGTCACGAGACGTTCTTGCCAAGGCCCAAAATCGATGGCTGTGGATGCGAGCGAAGAAGAGTAAAATCAAAAGCAATGAAATTAACTTGTATGGAACATGACACAGTTGGAGAGCTTGGACTCTCTATCAACGTTGTGAAGACCAGATGCTCTCCTACTTTTGTTCACAGTCCGCAGGGACGAAACTGTTGAGGTGTAAGTCGTATGCTGGAAAGAGGATCTTTCATGGCCTTAGTCCATTTTCTGAGATTAAATTTTAGAGGGTCGCAAGAGCATGAACCACTCCAGATTTTGTCACTGAAGAGATTTGCAGAGTCTCTTGGCTCACAGCTGACAAGAAAGGTCTGCTTGTTGGATTGCCCCTTGATGGTGTGCACCAATGAACCCGAGCGTGGTGAGGGGAGGTCTTGTCTCTCACTGCCAGGACCATACAGGTGACGCCCTCAGGGACAGCATCAATTCTTTTAATGATCTCTTTATGTGTTGACTAATTTGGCTGCAGCTGTCTCAGACCAATGCCCATGACCTCCTTTCTCCAGTTTCCCGAGCTGACACCACAGGTGGGTTTCCTTTGCAGAGCAGTGTCAGATTCTTGCAGACCACATATTAGATATTATTAGACCACATCGTTTAAGGGTCGTGCTGATACAGCCCGAGCGCTGGTTAAGAATCCGAAAGCTTGAGGCCCAGGGTCCCTCAAATTCTTATTTTTAAATGCAGGCAAATTTACACCACAACAGGCTGAGGGTCCCTCAAATTCTTACGTAGGGCATTCTTAGTTTTGTATTGCAGGCATCTGCATAATTTGGAGCAAGCAAAAGTGAGGTAACAAGCTGAAGTTGGCAGATTTGACCAGAGGCATGCGAAAAAATGATTTTCTAGAGCCTGAAAAGTTGTTTTTTTTTGCAAAGCTGGGCTGGTCTGAGTTTCATATAGTTAGTGTGCAAAAAATGATTTTCTAGAGCCTGAAAAGCAGTCCAAGCATGCGCGAAAAAAATTCGAGCCTGAAAAGTTGTTTTTCTGCAAAACCCGATTTCATCCCATAAGACCATATAAGGGATCACGCCGCAAAAAAAAAGAAACGCAAAGGGGAATTGCAAACCTTACGTATAAGGAGTAACTTAAGAATTTGGCAATCCTATTCCAGGGTCCCTCAAATTCTTAAAGTCCTATGTGTTTAGTACAACTGAAAATTTGTAGCCCGCCTTGGATTCGAGCCCCTCAAATTCTTATACAGTGAATTCTTGTACAATACTCAAGCTGTATTGTTTTTGGATTGCTGCTCTTCTCAAGGTATGCTTCTTTGATGGTAGTTTTGCAACGCTTCACATTTACTACTGTATGTTCTTCCGCTATCTTCCGCTGGGTTTCATTAGACGCTTTGTATGTGCCTCCATCAGGATCCTGTATTTGTGAACCTTACGCGCACAGCGGGAGCGCTGTGCTTAGCAGATCTAGTAGCAGATCTTAGCAGTAGATGTTGCAGTACCATCAACTGCCAACGCTACAAAGCTGCAGCCTGTTGTTCTGCTCCAAGGCTCATTGCTATTGGTCCACTGATGAAGTAGCTTTCGTACCTCACTTCGCAAGTTATATGAGTGAGCTGTGAGCCCCACATTGCCTTACAAGTTCATTGCAAGTCTGCCGGACCGCGACCAAGGTTTCAACTGTTCATGAATTAAAGGATGCAAACAAGACAGAAGCATTCGAGGTCTTAGTGGCATGGGATCGGTCACAATTGGGTACTGGATGTTTGATGATTTTTTGTTTTTTTTTGATCATTGTTTGCATAATTATTTGCAGATTTATGATATTTATGCCATCGGATGACATTGGATGCCATTGCTGGGGACCGACGCCAGATGCCAGGCTTTGGCCTGCAAGGTCCCTGCTTTGGTGCGTCATGCTGGTAAAGGAGATTTTCAAGCAGTTCCTGGTCCCAGTGCAGTGAAGTATGATATAGTATGATGAAGCATTGTTCCCGGTTCAAGACCTGCACTTTGAAACGCTGAGACTGTTTCCCATCGTTCCCATCCAGTTCGCATCTGTTAACGACTGTGAAACACTGCATTCTAAGGTCGAAGAGCTGCTGAAGCGCGGTGAGGACACTGAGTGAAGCCGTCGCAGGAATTGTGTCGGAAGAGGCATGCTGATTGCTGACATGTCTTGAAATATCTTTTGCTATGGATGCATTGGTATGCATTGAACCCAGTTACCCAGTGCATCCCAGTGCTAAACATAGGGCTTCTATGATTTCTATGGGCATTCAGCTCGACGTTACGAGCTCTAGTGTCGGCGCAAGACTGGACCATGCCAAGTGCGGTGACGCCGCGAAGGATCCGAACGTAGAGGACGACTTTGGACTGACAGCGCTGCATTGCGCTGCGAAGAAGGGCGATAGAAAGGCCCAAAATGAAACAATATGAAACATCATAAATAAGAAAACATGATAAAACATGTTTGTTTCAACGTGACATTAAGTGGCAATCTTGAAGCTTCTTGCTGTCGAAAGTTAGCAATAGCCCAGGGGGTGTAGTACATATGATATACCATGATATACCGATATACCGGACATGGTGCCACACTGGCGCAGATTGTGGCACTGCTTCTAGCCAGCGGTGCTCGAGTCAGTTCTTGCGCAGAGAACTGGAAAGGCGCTGTCAGACGATGCTGTTGCAAGGCCTCACATTCCAGCCTGGTGGTACGAATGATTGCAACTAATGTAGCAGGTGAAGTGCCATTGCACTACGCATGCAAGTCAGCTACCCAGTGACTCTGTCATGGGAATTCGCATGATGCCAGCATTGTAGCATTCCCTGTGCCGAGGTATGGTCATGCGAAGATTGCCAAAATTTTGCTGATGCCTGGGTCCCATGCCATCCTATATAATTATTACTAATTATGGATATATAACATAATTATACTATTTCCATCTATTTCCATGAAACCGAGGGATCAAAGGAAGCCAGAGAGAAATGGACTTTGCACCTTGGGAATTGAGTCCCATTGAGCCCCATTGAGCCCCAGTCCCATGGATTTTGATTGTGCAACATCCTACTCGATCCTACTCGAAGGTCTGGAGCAGATCCTCATGTACTGACCCAGGCCAGTCTGGAAGCAGCCTGCAGTAGTAAAGCGACCCTCAAAGCGACAAGGTGTTCACAAGACACATCAGGACTTGTTCGCCTCTTGTTGCCCAGTCTTTCTATGTCTTTCTAACACACCATCGCACAACTACACGGGGTTTAATTTGACCCCGGTAGCCAGTTGATTTTTGCAAGGCGCGAATCATCAGCTATCCACGCCCGCAAGGATGGACGCTCTCCAATGGATTTGGCGAAGGCAAGGTTTGTGAAAACAGACAGAAAGCAGCAGAAAAGAGGTTCCTTCGAATATAGCATATAGCCATCATATAGCCATATATGGCAATCATTGGCAATCAACATTTTTAAAACGCTCTCATGCTACTTTCATGCTTGCCAAGAGAGTTCGTGCTCAGGAGAAGAAACATGCGGCATGTGTAGAAGTTCTTCTGCAAGCGGATCGAGCAGAGCTTAGCACCGGGATCACCGGGAGCTTAGCAGTGCTCGGGTTTTCAGCCATAGTTACCATATGTTACCAGGACTGTTACAAGGACTGTTACCATATGTTACCATATGTTACCATAGTTTCTAGATGGTCAGACTGTGAGCCCTACAGCCAACAGAAACAATGAGGACTCAGCAGTGAGTCTTTGGAGCCAACGGTACACCTCTGAACAGAGGCGCTCAAGGCCTGGAGGTCAAAGATGGTCAAAGCACAAGAGTGAGATGTGTATGGCCTGGTTATGGTGGAAAACTCACACTGTTACACACACGAAGCTCATCAAAGCTTCCCTCAGCTAGGCATTTTTAGAGGGCACACGAATCAATGTCAGCAACCGTGTTTTTCTGATCGACAAACCTGCTGAGCAAAGGTTATATAATGAATGTGTTTTGCGGTGACACTGCAACCACTGGTGAGGCAACAAATCAATATCCGGTCTTGTTGGGGCACGTTTTGTTGCTGTCTGTCTGCCACTTGCTTTGGGGCACTGTGGAGAGAAAGTTCCAGTTTAGAAAGAGAAGAATCCTAAAGATGATTCCAAAAGTTTGCCAATACTTCTTATACAATCTTATACATCTGTACTGCCAATCCGGTACATAGCAGCGAATTCCAGTGGACTGTGCTTGCTAGATGGCAGTGTGAGGCTGCTGCAGGAGCGGGACAGCAACATCGGTCGCTCCCTGCTGGTACCGTCAGCGACGGTATGCCTTGAGGCGGATCAGCCCGTCCACATACCAACAGAGCTGACATCTGCATGATTCTTTAAGAATCTTTAAGATGGTTTGTCATGTTTTGTCATGTTTTGACATGTTTTGTTATTCCATGTGAACAGACATGTCTACCGCACAGAGATGGCAATGAGAGAACGTTGTGCAACATGGTGTGACGTTGTGGGTTGGGATAGGTTTGACCAGACTGCCAGAATGGCATGGTCACACCTACTGAAGCTGCTGCTTGCGACTGAGATTTGCCTTGTCAGCTGTTGCCTCTGTTGCCAGTGGCTGCTTTTGGCGGTGTCACTGAGGACTTTCTCAAGCGACTCCCACTGAGGGCTTGTAGCTGGTAGCAGCAGCAAGGAATATTTTTTTTTTGCTGGCGAAACTGCACTGTTCAGTGAGATGCACAATCTCGAGGGATTTCAAGCATAATTTGATATAATTTGATAACATAGACCCGGGCAAGCCGGCGGCGGAAGTTTCCCAAACATAAATGACCTATAGTTCAAAGACACCCTGTCCCGACCGTGTCCTTCCCTCGACACTCCACACCTCACACTGCACACTGCACTCTTCGCACTCCAAACTTCTCACTTCTCACTGCTTCCTTCACACTCCAAACCTCACACTTCACACTTCACACTTCACACTGCACACTTCACAGTCCACACTTCTCACTGCTTCCTTCACACTCCAAACTTAACACTTCTCACTCCAAACTTCACACTTCACACTTCTCACTTCGCACTTCACTCACACTTCACACT